CTTTCGTGTAGATACTATTATTTGTTCAAAAAAAAAAAACACTTCCAAACAAGCTTATAGTCATTAACAGCGAAACGGGGAAGAAAACCCTAGGCAGTATGAGTACGAAAAAAAGACAGTCCAAACCAAGCGGGAGGAAGAAGCAAAGGAGTTTCAATTTCTCCTCACGATAGGAAAACAAAGGTATCAAGGAATTTCTCCTCACGATAGCAGTATGAGTACGATTGCAGGTCATTGTGATGGGATTATTTGTCTAAACTTTACCTCTCATGACGATTACTATCCTGACGAGATTGTTTTATTCAATCCAGCAACCTCTCATGACGATTACTATCCTGACGAGATTGTTTTATTCAATCCAGCAATCAAGGAATTTGAGATTCTTCCCGAGTCTCACCTTCTTCATCTCCATCACCATCACCACTAATATGATTGTGTAGGGACAGTATATCCCTATACCAAAAGCTGTGGGGTTCGGGTACGATTTCAAAGCTAAAATTACAAGGTTGTTAGTGTTCGTCCGTGGTCTTATTCTTATAAACCTACAGTAGAGGTATACACTTTAGGTGCTCATTCGTGGAGAGAGATCGAGTGTGATATCGATTGTGATGCCTTGCGGATCCATTCCACTTACGTCTACTTCAAGGTATTTTTTTTACTGGTGTTTCTGCTGAAGTACCATGGACTAAGAGTATCATCCTTTCCTTTGACATGGGCGAGGAGGTATTTCATGAAATACCAGATCCATATAGTACCCTTGAGAGAGAGAGCGAAGATATAGTAGACTTGCATTGGGGAATGAATCCGTCGCTATTTTTTTCTTACCTGGAAAAATCCATGACCGGGATAATGTCTTCGATATGTGGGTGATGGATGACTCTAGAAGAAGTTGGAGCAAATGGTTAACGATCAAAATGTACCAGGTATTGAGTTTCCGTTGGCATTTTGGTAGAGGGACGAGCTTATTATGGCAGCCGCTAATAGACGTATTGTCTCCAACAACCTAGTCGCACGAAAGCTCAACAATCTTCTGATTCATCACAATGAAAATCGAGAATATAATCAAGTTATTGTTTATCCAGAGAGCATTGTTTCTGTGAAGAGGGACAACAAGAAGCTTAAGGGCATAGAGCTAAACAGACTGGTTCTCTCCGAGATGTTCGAAAAACGTAGCCAGAACAGGAGAAAGGTCTACATGAACCAGAATTGATGGGAATTAATTTTATTAATGTTTAATTATCTGCGAATGAATAGTGGAAGTCCTATTCTTCTCAGTTTGGAACTTTGGATTGCCTACAGATTAGGAGTATCTCGTTTATTTTGAAGTATGTCGATCATGGGATTAGTTGTTCCATGTTTTTAGCTATTGTTGTTATTTCTACGTGTATTTATGTTGAAGTTTCAGTCAATGAATAAATACTTCAGTTCAACCAATTTTCATACTCTCAAGCTTTCAATTCTAGTCTTTAGTTTTCAAAAAAAATTCACAACATCAATTGTGTATGAAATTAATATAAACAACACTACTAATTATTAAAAAAAAAATCACAACATCAATTGTGTATGAGATTTATATAAACCATTAATTAGAGAGAAAGTTTGAGAAAATAAGGATGTCAACTGTTTGATTTGAGAACGGAAAAATTATATTCATGATCCTCATAATCACAAAAACTAATCATATCCATAACCACAAATTAATTATCAGGGATTATCCATAACTATATCCATCGGGTAATAGATTTTCATCGGTTAACAGTTATATATATCCATCTTCGTCAATGCAAAAAAAATTATCAGTTCAACAGACAGATTATAATTTAATAGATACTAATTATGTCATTAAATATCCACATCAACTCATCGAAAACGTAACAACACTTTAGATACTTTCTAGAGGTATTCATGATAAGCCAAATATGATAGCAAATTAAGACAAATTGGTCCCATGAAAAAAAGAGAAGGGATGACAAAAGCAAATACAACCGCCACTACAGAAGAAAGACAAAACAAATTATCAAATAATATTCACAATTTTCTCCATATCCGGAAAATACTTGAGTTTTCATCCCGAAATTAGCCACATTCAGGCGGTTATCCGCGGTTATTAGATTTAATGGGTTCATTTGTCATCCATACTAACAAACCTGGAGATTGAGGCTTGCACAAATGCAATGTCTTAAAGATAGAATTTCACCCATACTTTGTGCTTGTGGGAGACGTACGTCTCCCAAGATTCAACAATACATAATCCGAAGTCGAAGCACCACAATCTTAGGACTCTAACGAACTTTTTTTTATATATTTTGTACTCTCAAGACACAACTTAAAATTTGACAAAGAAATAATGAATGAAAAAACATAGTGGAAAAACTCCATTTCTCAAGAATAAAATTAACTCTAATTCTATGAAAACTTCATTATTTAAGAGTGGAGTGTGCTTGGGTTTATATAAAACTCATGTCACTCTTTCTTAAATTATGTGTCTATTGGCTTTAAACCGGCACCTTTTTATTATTAAGGTATACAACTAATCAAAAGGTAAGGTGAACCAACCTATTCAGAAAGGTTGACACCAGCCGTAATTTTAAACAACAAAACCATGCATTGCATCCTCTACGATGGATGATCCCACCTCTTCAGAAAGGTTGACACCAACCATAATTTCAAACAACAAAACCGTTTGAATGAAACGGTGACAACTAGAAAATTTTCCATTCACATTTGAAAACTAAATATTATAATAAAAATTTTCACCAACTAATTTAATGAAAAAGTTACCACTAGTATTAATTTCAAGCTCAATTAACGTATGGTTCGTTTGGATGTGCTTTTAGAAAAAATATTTTTGGGTTTCAAAAATACTTAAAGTGCTTTCTACAAGAAGCACCAGTTATGTGCTTCTTCCAGGAAGCACTTTAAGTATTTTTTCAGGATTTGCTTTCATCTTTACTAATGATTGGTTCTAAAAATATTTTCACCAAAAGTATTTTCAGTCATTTCAAAAGCACATGCAAATGAGCTCTACGAATATATATATACACACACATATATATACATATACACATATATATACATATATATACACACACACATATATACTCAATTCGATACCTAACAACTGTTGACTCATTGAATGGATTAGCAATGAAAAAAAAAGGAAAACTAATGAAAAGGGTTTGAAAACTTTGAGTTTTAATGATAAGGACAAAATAAAGGGTAAAGTGAATAGTATCAGGATTGACTTTTTAGTGTAAAAATGTGGTTTTTCGTTAAAGTGAACAGTACCGGGTGCTTTTCGTTATAGTTCCCAAAAAAAAATGGCAAGGTTCAAATGAAAATGATATTTGTATTTTTTTTTTAATCATACACACTTATGTTTATTTATGTTTATTGTGTTGAAATCACTTTTGAAGTTAAAATACACTAGCCTTTCTACATGCGCTTTTGCACATGTGAAATACCTTTTTTTTTATTAACGGCGCGCTACTGCCGCTATGCGCAACTTAAATGTATTTATCTACGTTAATCATTTCACTTGATCACTCTTGTGCTTGGAACTTGTCACATTTTTTTACCAAGCGCGTTGGTAGTGTCCCATATGTTTTTCTTTTATTTTTGTGTGTAGCTATCAATTTAACAAAAATTGTGTGCAATATTAACATTACCCCTTTTTTAGCAATTAAGTTTTGGATTAGCTTTCATGCCTGCCATAATTTTCTTTTATTCACCACGATATGTACGTTGAAAATTTTAGTAATTTTGTGTGAAGAAAGTGAAGTAAGATAGACATTGTGGTTTGCATATTGTTGTTCAAAATAATCATTGAAAATAGTAATATAAAATAAAGGTCCTAAAATAAGTTACAAAATTGCTTAGAAAGTTTAGAAATAACGTTTGTGTCAAAATCACTTTCGAAGTTAAAATACATGGTTTCCTACCCACAAAAACAAAATTGAAGACAACAATTAACGTTGTCTATTTAGAGCGTTTCCAAAGAAGATGTCAAATTGTCTAAATTAGCAATAACGATAACAAAAGACAGTGGTAAAGTTTTCCAACCAAAAAGCTAAATCTGAAGCGGCATGACATGGATTGACATATCTCCCCCTTGCGGCCAAATTTGACAGAAGCTTCAGATTTTTTTAATTAATTATTAAATGATTTTTATTAATTTTTTATTGGTTTAAAGCATTATCCTTTTGTTTCTTTTCATTCCCAATGCAAAGAAAATACATATGAATTATTATTTTATATTTAAAATTTGACATATCGGTTGAAAAACAAAAGTTTAAAAGATGCCAAATACCACATAAGCTTTCAAATTTAAATTTTAGATTTAAAATTTGACAACTCCTTTAGAAATGATGTTAAAATGTCACAGTAACGTCCTCCAACAACAAGAGCAATGTGGGGCCCACATAAACCACGTGATTTTCCCCACGTCGGTGGTGTTGTGGTGAGATGGAAAAATCGCAAATCTGGTAATTCCGCCAGCAATGAAAAGGACTATTTTCACACCGCAAGCCGTTTGTTTGGAGAGATTTTTTAGTATGATCGGCACATAGTACATCATGTGTCATTATACAAATACTGAGATATATGTTTTAAAAAGTTAATAATTTAAAAAATAAAATTTTCTACTACTTGTATAAAAACACATAATGTATCATCAGTGATTTCGTCGTAATAAAAAATTTCTCATATGTTTGTCGTGCTGTACTGTCTTGGTTCCTTCTGCCCAAAACAAAACTTGTATTCTTTCGAGGGGTTTATACATAATTTCAGTATTTATTTAATTTTTTTTAAATTAAAAGAAAAAAAAAAAGAAACTTTAACGAAAAGCACCCGGTACTGATCACTTTAATGAAAAACCACATTTTTACACTAAAAAGTCAATCCTGCTACTATTTATTTTACCATTTATTTTATCCTTATCATTAAAACTCAAAGTTTTCAAGTCTTTTTTATTAGTTTTCCTAAAAAAAAAAAAACTTTTGGTTGAAGATTGAGTGTGAAGAGAAGAAAGTGGGGTGCACATTTGCGTAACCCAACAAAAGCCAAATCCGAGTCCGATTCCAACTTCCTCGTCTTTGCATATAAGACGGCGTCGTACTGGGTTATCTTCCTCGTCTCTCTGCATAAACTCCCACCTGGTACGTTAATCTTCCCCGTTATTCTTCTTTTCTTTTGAAATTTTTGTTGTAATTTAGAAAACCCATTGTTCTAATTTCTTTAACAATCTAATGTACCATTTAATTTTGAGGATTAGGCGATTAAAATTTTAAATTCAATTAAAAGTCGACCCAATTACGATTAGTTTAATTCGGAATTATGGGTTTTTATTTATTTATTTTCGGTTGCAGCTGCTGGCAATGTGTTATGTTAATTGTCTCATGTTCTTCTGATTTGTTATGTAATTTTGGGTCTGAATTATGATTTGGTTTGTTCACTCAAATTCTGGAATTTTAATAACCCAGGAGCTGAATTTTGCATTCAAAGACAGATTCTGAGGTTAAATGCAGTGTGGGTTTAGGTCATATGCTTGAAAGATTTTTCAAAGATACAAAATCTAGGATTTATACCCTTTTGGTTGATTAGTGTTACCAATTACAAATTCAGTATCAAACTTTGGTAACTAATTACTTGCAACCTATGTTGCACGGATACGGATACGGGTAGGGTAGTACGCCGATACGGCAAATTTCTAACATAACAAAATAGAACCCTGCAATTTACGGATATGGTAAGGTATTGTGTGTGGGGTGTAGGTATCCGAGACCCACCCTTGTCTAAATTTGAAGTATTGGTGCAACATAGCTTGCAACTTACGAATTTAGACAAGATGGAACTCTTGGCTTTTCGGTTGCATCCTCATTCTCGTTGAGTGAATCTGCATGCAAATAAACTGATCTGGAAATTGTTTCCAGATATATGAAAAAAATTTCGGATTATGTAGATGATGGAGAGGTCATGTTTTGGACTCGCAACTTGCATAGATGTTTCGCGTATACGTTACTTCTGCTAACAATTTATGGTTATCATAGTTGATTATGGATTTAGTCAGTGTGGCAGAGGATAACAGTTAATCTACTTTAGATTTTGATTGCACATCCAATGTGTTTGTAATGCATCGAGCTTCAATACTTTGTTCATCCTGTCTAATAGGATTGTGATACGAGCTTACATGATGGGCAGCACAAATGGCTTAACAAGTGTGCGGGGGAATCAACCTCTATTTTCGTTTGGGGTAATTTCTGACGTTCAGTATGCTGATATTCCTGATGGCTGCTCTTTCCTTGGTGTTCCACGATACTATCGTCATAGCATTGTTGTATTGCAAAGGGCCGTCCAAAGATGGAATGATCAGAAGAAGCATAAATTTGTGATCAATTTTGGGGACATTGTTGATGGTTTTTGCCCAAAAGACCAATCATTGAATGCTGTAAGAAGAGTTGTTGACGGATTTGAGAATTTCAATGGCCCCGTCTATCATATGATTGGTAATCATTGTCTGTACAATCTTCCCCACAACAAATTAATTCCGATATTGAACATTCCAAGTGTCGATGGTCGTGCCTACTACGACTTTTCACCAGCCCCAGAATTCAGATTTGTTGTTTTGGATGGCTATGATATCAGTGCTATTGGCTGGCCTCAAGATCATCCATGTACAATCGAGGCTTTGAAATTCCTTCAAGAGAAAAATCCAAATTCAGATAAGAACAGTCCGTCTGGACTGGAGGGCCTCGAGAGAAGGTTCCTTATGTTCAACGGAGCTGTTGGAAAGGAACAATTAGAATGGTTAGACGGCATCCTTCAGGAAGCAACAAGTTTGCAACAGAAAGTAGTGATTTGTTGCCATCTGCCTTTAGATCCCGGGGTATCAACCAAAGAAGCACTTTTGTGGAACTACGATGAAGTCATGAGTGTGATACACCGGTACAACTGCGTGAAGGTTTGCCTAGCTGGCCACGACCACAAAGGTGGCCACGCAGTTGATTCCCATGGAATACACCATAGAGTTCTTGAAGCTGCCCTTGAGTGCCCTCCCGGAACAGATGCTTATGGGTACATAGATGTTTATGATGATAAGCTTTCACTCAATGGTACTGACCGAATGGCGAGCACAGACATGCTATTCAATCCTCAAGCACACTTACAAGATAAACGGCATCAAGAAGTTCGTAACTAATTCTTTTGAACTTTGTGTACGTTATTTGGAGATGTATGATTATCAATAATAGTTACGCCAGAAGCTCAAAAGGGCTTGTTAATTATTTCCCTCTGCATTGATTTGGGAGAGTAGGCAAGCTTCTCATGTTCTGTAATCTGTACTCCTATGGGAACGCTATATACAAATTCACTATTTGACTGTCATTACATGTGTTGTTGCTTTGCATTTTTGTTCTGCAAAAACTTGGTCTGTTCCCCGAACACTAGCTGCACTGTTGCTATAACTTTGATACGAGCTGTGTTGTGTGAGACGTAAATCGAACACGGGACCTCATTCTCGTCCCTCGGGTGTAAAGGTAAATGCTCTTTAAGACAAATTTCTTCCAGCTAACCTTTGACCTAATAGTTTCATACTAATTGCCACTATGTTCGTACATTCCAAGTAGACAGAAAATGCGGGTTGAGAGGCACGTCCAATCTTGCACACTTCTCAAACCAGTGGCGAACAACTAAACAGATTACAATTTCGATGGTTCATAATTTTTTAACCGTTGATGCATGAGAATCTCACTATGAGATTAACACACGTCAAAGATCAATTTAGCATTCATGATATCAGTCAATTCTTGTAAAAAATAAAATAGAAAACTAGATTTTAATCTTTAAATAGGATGAAGTTTAAGAAAATATCTTATATAAGATTAAAATTTGATTTTAATTTTAATGTAATGACATTAAAATGTGTATAATAATAATTAATTTTAATGTAATGACATTAAATCAGATATCTATTAAATATTAAAACAATAATATAATATAAATTTGAATTAAGTACACATTAGATGACTAAAATCAATATTCAATCTAACACCAGATTTTTATTGAATTTTAAACTTCTTTAAGGATTAAAGTTCAAAACCCTCAAACTTAGGCCTCTCATTTTTTTAATGTTGCATTTTCTTTATTATTTTTTATTTTTCAATCTTGTTATCTATAAATTGAAATATTACAGGTTAATCAGTACACCAAAAATAGTTTATTTGAGTGGGCAGGAGGGTTTCCTATCATTAAAGATTCTCAGTTTGAAACAGGTTGCATGTTTTGTGTAGATTTAAACCAAGAGCTGGTAACCCAGTAGTAAAAGGTGATTACGAGGCTTTCTTTTAAATTAAAAATTAGAGGTCTTGGGTTCGAAACTCATTGCTGGTGTGGAAACTAGACTTGTGGCCAGGGGAGGCTAAAATGCTTCTGTGAGTCCTCCCGGCTCTCGAAAGAGATGGATAACAGTAACTTGCCACCCGTTGTCGTCTTTTTTCAAAAATAAAAAAAAGTTATAACGAAACACTCCAGATACTGTTCACTTTAACGAAAAAAATATTTTTACTCTAAAAAGTCGCTCCTAATACCATTCACTTACAATATTTTTTTATCCTTTTGATTAAAACTTAAAGTTTTCAAATCATTTTCATTAGTTTTCTAAAAATTAAAAAAAAAAAAACAATGTAGAACCACGACGGGTTGAACCCAATACATGCACGAATAGATAGAAAGCGCAAACTACTGGCGCTGGAAGAGGTATTTGATAATATCTTGTACATGTAAAGAAAATTTAAGGGCCCGTGGCACCGTTAGCGCACACTCAAATCTTGCCCTGCCCCAACCTTAAGCGTTTACTCTTATGACGACATGACCAATGCATATTTTACTTTTATGACGACTTTGCCCTTCTCTTCTCAGCAATAAAGAAACCACCCAGGGACAAAACCGAGAAAACACTGAAGACAACCGATGCAATGTCAAGCGACATGTGGCGGCCGCTGATTCCCTCCACCACAAACAAGTTGGCGGTCTTTTTGGCGTTCGTAGTCTGACCATACGCCACCTCCTGACCCGCGGCGTTGAAGGCGTAGGCGCGTACGAAGTACGTGGCGCCCGGCACGTCGCGCTCGATGGTCCACTCGACGCTGTCGTTGGACTTGCTGGTGTACGACCTTTCGACGATCTTCAACAGGCATGTCTTGTCCTTGGCGAGGTTGTCGACGGTCTTCCTCCACCCGCGGTCGACTTGGCTCACCGGCGCGTAGCATAACTTGACCTTGATGGTCTTGAAGGTTGAGTCGGTGCCGGCTTCGGAGCTCTGGTTTAGCCCCCATGAAACGGTGAGCTTGTCTATCCCTGCTTTCAGAACTGCGAAACAATCATGGATTAAGATTAATATTGGATTTATTTTGCTAATTAAAATTAAAATATAAAGAAAACCCAGTTGGGAAGTTAGGTTTTTGGAGAGGAACGTGGGAGACTTTTTGTGTATTTGACTATTTGTTTATCTTCGCATGCTTTGGGAAGTGTAAAATTTGCAAATTTAGGAAAAATGAGAAAATTTTGCAGACTTAGGAGTATGGATTAAAAAGTTGGAGGTTTTCGGTAGTGATTTTCACGCTATCGTTTTCTTTTGAGCGGTGGATAAAAAAGTGCAGAAATCAATTTAGTATTCATGAATTGCAATGAAAACATAAAGAAGCCCTAATGAAAAAGTGAAAAAAAGTGTTTTGGACCAGAAATTTAATATAGAAAACCCAGTTGCAAAGTAAGGAGGTTGGACTAGAAAGTTGGAGACTTTTAGTATGGATAATAATTTTCACACTCGCGTTTTTATCTTCTGCACTCCTCTTATTTTGTGTTTTGATTCTCTTTTGATTGAATAAACCGAAGAGGAGAGGAGAGGGATGGAGTGTAGAAGATAAAAAGAGTGCGGAAATCATATCCCTGTCGAATTTTGTTTACCTTTCCTAATTTGGAAACTGTAAAATTCATGACTCGCAATGAAAATATATAGAAACCCAATTGAAGAAACAAGATATTGGACCAGAAACTTGGCAAATTTTCAAGAAAAAAATCTATACTATTTACCCTGGTTTTCTGCGTGTGAAGCAGTAACAAAGAGACTATCCTTGAGAGAAGAAAAGAGGACAATCCCATAGGAGGTTTGGGATAAGCAAGAGAGCACAAGAAGTGAAGCCAACAGAATCCCATGAGATGCCATCTGATTAGTTTTACTTGCAGATCACCCAAAGATTGAAATCTTAGAGGGAGAGAACACTTTAGAATCTGATTCTGGAGGTGATGATGATATGAACTGGCACTAGGGTTCCCTTTATATGCAAGTCCCAAAATTCAAAACTAAAAAAAAATAATATTTAAAAAGTGAGAAATTGGTTTTTGCGAAGAGGTTGAAAGACTCAAAAGACCCATAGTATGTGCTGGAATATGTGAGATTAGGGATCCAAAACATGCGGATATTTTAGGAAAAAAATCGTTTAAATATGTGATGGGAATGTTAAATGAATGAGGATTCTCTCTTGATCCACTTTGTGAGGATACCGGGAATCCTCTAATTTTGTTCATTCATTACATCGTGTTGTCAGAAATCATTTTAAAATTTTATTTAAAATTAAACACAAATAGTACCTGATAAAAATTGACCGTACAATTTATGATGAACTGATACGATTAAAAGATCATCTGGATACTCCCAAAGAGGATTCGGAGAGGATTCTCACTATGATAAAATGGCCTTAAAGTGCACTGAAAGGGTGGGGTTGTGAGTTTTTTTGTATAATTTTTGGGTATTAGAGTATTGAGATAACAAGGTTTCTGGGCTGGATGTGTTTGGGGTTTTGTTTATAGATTGACTTTGTGTAGGTTTAATTTTTTTTTTTAATTTGTTCCAAGTTGTGGTGGAAGGTGATAAGAGAAGATATGCAATACATGGTGGCCCAACGTCTTCTTCCTCTTTGTCCTCTATGTCTTGTAAAGGGCAAACAAAACGAATCACCAAGTAACCGCTCAAAAACACTTTTCGGGTGGGAAAATAAATTGCAATTTCATACTCTCTCTCACGTGAGAGTTTCTTTCTCTCCGTTGTGAAAATGCTTATGTGAGACCTTCTTCCAAACTCTTTGGTGGCATCAGCCTTAGCTTCGGTTGGGGTCAGGTGTTGTGTCCTTTTCTCTCTTTTCTCCTTCTTTTCTTCCTGCATCTATTGTTGGTTCTCCTCAATTTTCAATTCGGCCTATCCAATTCCTCCAACTCCGTGGGTTTTCTTATTCCTGGTTCTTCCTTGCTTCGTTTTTCAGCCATGTCCTCTGTCGAGTTCGTGTGTAGAGTTTCGACGCTTGCACCGGCTCCGATATTTTCCAAACCATCACGCTCTCCTTTGTGTTTTCCGTTTGCGACATTGTTGCTTGAGACTTGTTCTGAGCTTCCACCTGGTGATTGGCCTCTTTCGCTTGGATGCCGATTACCCTTAACTTATGGTTGTGCACAGGAGACGTCAATGAAGGAGATGATCGGCGGTGGTCGGAGAATCGGCTGGCTGGCAGTTCCTTGGATCATCGGTGGAGAAGGCAGTGGGTGCTTCTTGAATGTTCTTTGGTTTTGGGCTTTTGGGCTCATTCTCTGTTTCTATTATTTTTTTCTTTCTGCTTAGGTCCGTTTCTAAGTTTGTGTTTTTGTTGGAATAAAATCTTCCCCTTGACCAAAAAAAAAATGAATCACCAAGTGGGTGGCAAGAGTTCAGATTAAGAAACGATAAACACACATTTTGCTGGTTAATTTTATTGGTTAAATAATTAAAAATAAAAAGAATTATTTGAGAGATTAAAATAGGTGTGTGAAAATTAAATCTCTTTGCAATTATAGGAAATAGGTTAAAGTTTGCCTTTTTTTTTTGGAGAAACTAAATTGCTCGCTTTTTGATAACTACGTGTGCTTATGAGCAACATCGTTTATCATGCATTGTCGTAAAAAAGATGTTTTGACGACTCAAATCATGATTTTTTTATCACAAAAAAAACAACCTTTCCGTTGTACTTAAAAAAAAGTTGTGCACCAAAATAAAAATGTGTGCATAAACCATTTCCGTTGATAAAAATTTGTTGTGGTTCCAATAAAAATCAAGAATAGTTTATGAGTAAAAATTGATTCTTACATAAGCACTTCCAAACCAACGTGGTGATCTGATAAACTCCATACTATATAATATTAATTTGAATACTTTTAGAGTCATGATAGCTAAATTGAATGTTATAGCGTGCATAGCTGTTAAGTGGCAGAAAGCCTCCAATTTTAATATTCAAACAAACTCTGCAACCAAGTGAGACAATCAAAAGATGTTTAAGCACACGATTATTGAAAGGAGTCAACCATGTACTTTTCTTCAATCCAAAGTCAACGAAATTGCTTCATGATTTCGCAAATTAGTTTAAGAGATTATATCCATGATCAAACTTTAATACAGCTTATGCAAGCATAAGATGAGATTAACATATTTTTCTCTTTAATTAGATTCTAGGATCAATGAGAAGGATTAAAATAATTAAAGATTTTTTTGAATAAATGTAATCACTATAGGTCATTTGTAGGTGAATCTAGAGAATGACCCTTTTGATCAATTTGGGTCATTTGTGGGTGAATTTTTAGAGATGACCCTTTTTGAGTTGACGGTTCATATATGTCTTGTTAGAGTTTAAATTCTATGACTTCTAGTGGTGTTGGTCACTCATGATTAATTATTTTCTTTATTTATAAAAAAGAATGAAATAAGCACTGTAAAATGATACGTTCAGATAGACAGACTATTTAATTTATAACAGATACGTGAAAGTTGAGAACAAATACGTCATTTTAATTAAATACAATAACAAAAACAAAAATATGTATATATTAATCATATTTCATATAAGAATTGCCACAAAAGTGGAGCAGATGTTTCTTGAAGCCAGCCCCAATCAAGTAGGTGTTAAATATTTATAGAGTTTATAAAGGAAAGAGATCATCTCTGGATCTCTTCCACCAAGGTCACCGGATCAAGTGATCCGAGCCCTTGAAATTTGATCCAACGACTAAAAACAGAGGCCCTTTTTAAAAGTTATATAATTTTAACCGTTAGATCAAGTTTCAAGAGTCCGTATCACTTGATCCAATGACCTTGGTGAAAGAGATCTGGAAAGGATCTCTTTCCATTTATGGTGGGCTAAAATATTTAAAGCCCCATATGACCATTGTTAATGGATATATTAGGCCCCATAAATTATACTAATTGTTTGAACATGGATCAACATCTCCTTCACATAAGTAGTGCAAGTTTGAACATGTTTTGATGGTTTTGTCACAAGCTCATGATATTTTTCTAGTTTTGCAAGAGGCCTTAAACATGTTTTGATGGTTTTATCAACTACCTCAACGGTAAGTTTTCATAACTATTGTTCATGCTTATCTTCCGAGAAGCCAATATAGAAGCTAATGTTGTGGACTATATCATCCTAATGGTTCTCAAAGTTTTCAGTGACATTACTAGCTTGTCTACTAATTCATAATCAGAACAAGAGCGGTTGCATTGAGGAGGAGTTAGAATGAGGTAAATTCATAATTGCTTCGTGTTGAAGCTTCTCCAACGGAAATTGGGAAGGAGAGATGGGTCTGTTGGAGGCTACAGGACTGTTCATTGGAGTTGGGCTAAAACTACAAGGAGAGTTTTGAAATTAGCCAAAACCATGGGCTAATATTGGTACAAAATTGGATTCCTAATGGGCTTGATTTCGAGGAATCCAAATACTAAATCAATATAAAGAATTCAAATTCGGAAGTTTAAAGAGTTTGATTCCCCATTTTAAGTGGGTTTCCTATATATTTTTCTTCCCCAACTTTTGATAAATACTTGGAATTACTAAAAATAAGTGCAATTCTCAGTCCTCTCATTTCATTTCCCCTACGTTAAAAAATACATATATTATAAAGCGTATGTAAAATCACCAAAGGATATTCGTTTCAGCTTGTTCACAAAAACAAAGTTTGAACATGTTTGTCATAAACACAAAAAAGGTGCGCAGCATTAATTTTTTTAGTTAATTACATTTTGGACCCCAGTGGTTTAGGTCATATAGCAATTTGGTCCACATATTTAGAATTTGACAAAAACAACTCTTCGGTTGCGTTTGGTATGCTCGGGAATGAGAAGGGTTTTCTCATATTTGGCAAGTCCGGGCTTGAAAATAATTTCCTGGCCCATGAGAAATTAGGGGGAAAGTGAATTCCTCCACCCGTTGTTGGTATTGATATAATTTTATGATAAACATATCCTCATTGTCAATTAGAAGTGCTCATTATATCCCAAAAGGGTGATATTCCATGCCTACATACATTGCTATTGTAACCAAACATAACAAAAGAATTTGCATTTCCCTTCTCCTAAAAAAAGACATGAAAAATTATTTCTTTTCACATACCAAACGCAAACTTAAAGTTATAAATTGGTAGCATCGCAGTTTCATCAATCTATTGTTCATGGAAGCCAAATATTACTTGAAAGTTATAATAGGTTCTTTTGATGCCTCAATTTCTGAGTGCAGAAACAAATGTTTTAATAATTTGAAGTACAAAATTCTTACAGGATTGATGAACAATTTGTATATTTTTTTTTTGTTTTATTTAAGACATCGGCCCTAGTTGGAATTCAATAGGGGTCAAAAAGCTAAGTGGCTAGCGAGTCTTTGCAGAGTCGATTTTTGGGCGGGTCTTGCTAGCAATTCCCTTTTTATTTTAATAATTTGATGTGGAGTAAGATCCTCTCTTCTCCCTTTCTCTTCTCTCTCACTTTTCTCTTTATAAAGCAGTCAATATAAGATGTTAACGTAGCTTAATTGTGACTGTTCAAATAGGTAGTGACCAAAGAAAAAGAAATTTTGGAAAGAAGAGAATTCTACTCCTTTGAAGTATTTTGAGCATGATCAATGAAATAGTAAGAAATTAAACTACCAATAAAAAAAAAGTATTTGTATGAGACAAATACGCAAACAGTTTTGCCAGCAGAGTTTGGCATACATATTATACACGCCCCACAAATACAAAGCAAGAGACAGTGACCGGAAAAAGCCGGCCAAAACGTTCAAACTTTCCTTGGTACTCTCTCCATGTCCAATCCAACGAAAACATTCCATATTTATATACAAATCTCCAACTCCAAACACAAGAGAGACGACTCCGAGCTGAGAAATTAACAGCCATGGAAAGGAGAAGATTCGGCAGAGAAACCAGAAACGGGGGGCCGCTTTTAGCCATGCAGCACGATATTAAGCAGCAACAACCGGTTGCCGCAGAGGTCCACCGTAATAAACCCCAACAAGTGGCGGACCTCACGGACTTCATGAACGACATGTTCTTCGGCACCGTGAAGGTCGAGAACAAGTCGTATAACCTGACTGGAGACGACATGGACGACGAAGATGATGACAGCCCCAGATCCACCACACCCACTACGCCTACTAGCAAAATGACTCAGGAGTGGTTACAAGAGGCGAGGCGTATTGTTGCCTCGTCCCCGACTCGGAGTGACTCGCCCTCTCGACTCGCTGCTGGCTCACCACGGTTCGCAGCAGGTCCACAGGGTCAAGTTAACCCAAGATTGTCGCTCTCTTCCGCCCTAGATCGGCGGGACGCAATGTCTAGGTCCGCCAGAAGGTAGTGTGTTTGTCCTCTTACATCGAAGTTCAAATTTATCTTTTTGTAGATTATAATAATTTAGAATATCGTATTTGTCAAAAAGAATGAAGACGATCATACGATCGAAAGTGAAAATTCAAACTATACCTTGTTTTGGCGAAAACAGGTACCGCGCGGCGGAGAGTTTTAGTGGCGAGATTCTATCCAAGTCAGCCAAGCACTCCCGAAACAAGTCTGACGTGCCGCCCCCTGACTCGCCCACATCACCAGCGTCTCAAGCGGAAATTTCGCCGGCTTCTGCGGTGCATAAATGGTTTTCCAACATCCTCAAGCCCAACTCCAATCCCCCTCGGGCCCAACAACCCAATCCCCCTCAGGCCCAACAACCCAATCCCCCTCAGGCCCAACAACTCAATCCTGGGCCTGCAGCCCAAACAATCGTTCCCCGTCAACCGGTGAGCCGCAGGTCGCGGTTCCAAAACGATCCCTCCTCTCCTCGACCGCATGGGATCCCGATCCCTTCTCGACGGACATTCCAAAGCCCAACACCGTTGCCTGACGCCCATGTGCTCTCTCCGCCTAAAAATCTTGTCCCGTCGGCCCATCGTAGGTCCATATCGTCGTCTACTTGTTCCATTGAGAAGAGTATCTCAAGGCCCAATGTAATTGGATGGCCTAATGATGCAGCCCAAAATGAAGCCCAAGCCCAAGACTTTTACCTTAATAGGTTTCTCAAAGTGCAAAGGACTAGGGTTGAGAAAGTATTGGATGGCCAAGTTAATTCCAAGGCTAAAATCGTACTTTCGGACACCTCGAATAGTAAGCTATTTCAAGTTTCAATAAATCATGCTAAAGAAATCACATTTCTAAATCGCAGTAGGAGTGGTACAATAGTAACCATACTTGCTACGTAAATTATCGTTTCAGTTAACTAATATGGTCTACAGTTCCTTGCGATAAAATAAAAAATGCTTTGTGAAGTGCTCATATTATATATTTGTTTACAAATTAATATCGCAAATCTTTAATTAGAAGTCTAATGAGATGTCACCATATTGATAAAATTGGAAATGTAGGTACAAGTACAATGGTAGCAGCAGTATGTTATGCATGGTTGCTTGAGAACAGGGTGAAGAAGGAAAGTAAGAGCAAAGGGAATGGGGAGGAAGAGGAGTATGTGGTGGTTCCAGTGATGAATGTGAAGAGAGGGAGGATGTGGAAACAAAGAGAGGCTGCTTGGCTATTTCACCATGTTGGCCTTGATGCCACCTCATTGCTCTTTGCCGATGAGGTACTTCAATTCCTTTATCTATATCTATATATATATCTATATATATATATATATATATATATATATATATATAGATAGATATATATATATATATAAAGTGAGCACCCTGTAAGGGTGAAACATTCAAAACGCCATAGATTGCCCTTTAAGAATTTCAAAAATTACAATTGAACCAAAAAAAGTTTAATTGATTCACCACTTTTTAATTTTCAATGAATATAATTTAAAACTTTAGAAAATAAAAAAACCTCCCATGTTAGTAGGTGGTTAGGTTTCATGTTTTTGCTTCATTTTTTAATGATTTTTAATAAAATATAAATTAGCTATTTAAATAAAAAAAATTAAAAAACGAAACATGGTCTAATATAAAAAGGTCAATTGTCACACGCGTATGCGTGTGGCAAGAGGATAGTATATATAATGTGTGTGTGTGTATCTTCTTTTGCAATGCTCTCTCTCTCTCTCTCTCTCTATATATATATATATATATGCACACAACAAATATTTTTCATAATTTGGGGATTTTTGTTGATCCAATTTGGTTTCAGGTGGACTTGGAGAGTCTAATGATGGCCGGGAAATTAAACATTCTTGTGGTCGGACAAGATGTTCTGACAAACAATGGCGAGGTAATTGGAACATACATGTTAGGTAGATTATGCGGTTACAAATTTTGAGTGAAAAATAGAATCCGGCGATACAAGACTTACAATAAGCTGTATATAAACCACGGTTTAGTGTTTTTTAATTTTATATTATATGTTTAGTGTACTTTCAGCTCTATTTTCTAGCAAAACTGCACTTAGACACAAGACGTGAACTAATACATGTGTATTGTGCATCTTTCTTTATTAGGTTGGATCTCAATGCACCATTCTGACAGATAATTACTGTGAAGATGCCTATGATCTACTTGAAAGCCCTTTGCTGAAGAAACTTTTGGTAAATCACAAAACTTTTAGTCGTCAAAAAACGCTTTTAATTCTTTTGTTTGAACTTGGATTAGGATTTTCAGTCACTTTCACTGTTGCAGCTTGCAGGTATTTTGTTAGACACTCAAAATTTGAAGCCGTCCCTTCAACTGTCCATGACAAGAGACGCCGAGGCAGTTCAGTTGCTACTGGTTGGCTTAGCCTCCAATTACCGGAATTCACTTTTTGATCAATGTAAGTACGCCTTTTGTTTTCGCTCTCTAGATCATCGACGAGAATGTGTTTCTTGTACATGTCTAGTAAATGTTCTTTTGGTTATCTCTATCAGTGACACAGGACCAAAGAGATGATTCCTTTCTTGAAGCTTTGCGGAAAAATTATGGGAAGCCTCCTAATGAAAGTAAACTTACTATTTTTGTGACTATACCTGTGGTTGCACATTAGGGTTATGACCCTTGACAGCCTTTAGCTCTACTTGTGACGATTTCAGGTGGGGGTGAGAGCAGAGAACTTGTGGAGCAGAAGGTTTCCGAGCGAAAATCAACCTCTATTTCCCGCAACCAACCCACCATCCAAAACTCAGACAAGAGTCCTAACGATGCAAGAAATGCAAAGGGGGTTTCACCAAAATTAGGTTAGATTGCAGTTAAAACCGCTTTTCTAGCTATAAAAAACACTTCTAACTATCAAAAGTACTTTCCAAAAAGCAATTGGTTTCATAATGATAGATTTGATAAAAGTTTTGAGCACTTGGTTTCATAATAAAAGTTTTGATGTGTCATTCCCAGCATAAACGTTGGTGAGTACAAGTGCTTCCAACGTAATCACAGTTCCAAACGGACCTGTGTATAATTGATAATTTTACAATACTTTCGAAAGTTTTATTACATTTCCTTTATCCCTAAATCTTTCACATCTTTTCTGTTGTAGCTAAACCAAGTTCTTCGCCTGTCAAAGCCCCTTCACCTGCAAAAGCAGCACCTGATGCCTCCCGAAAAAAGAATAAGTTCTTCCTGGCACAGTGGTTTGGTTTTGGACCAAAGTGAGGACCAATATCTGTTAAACTGTAAATTGATATAGAAGAGAGATTCTCAATTTGATCTCCTTACAAGAAACAAAAGGGAAATCATTTCCTAGATATCTGCTAGTTTTGTCAAACGGACGCAATTTTCGTTCAACGAAATTGTTTGCTGTTCGTTTTTGGAAGAGGAAGAACTGAAACTACTACACATAAATTTAGTAATGGATTAGTTCTTTTGTCTCAGACAGTAACGGTTGAAGTTGGTAAAAGTTTTGTATCTGCTATGGTAAAACCTTTCTCATGCAGCAGTGTTTTGAACTCTCACTATTGTTCTTGTACACGATGATGCGGACATGCATTTTGAATAGGATAGTGTTTTCACACACTCGTTTTTCTGTTTGCACTTTTCTTTTGTCCAAATATATATTTTTTATTTATTCAATCCATATGCTAAAAGAACTTAAAGGAATACATGAAAATAAGTGTGAGGAAACCATTAAGGGTCTGTTTAATACTCTACTTGAATCCAATTTTTTTAACTCAAAAACACTTTTCCAATTTTAGGCATTAAAAATTTGGTTGGTATGACTATTTTTTAAATTGAACGCAAAACTAACTTAAAAATATAGCTTATTCTCTAAAACACCAAAAATGAGTTTTTAAAATTTTGGGTAAATTACACAAAACTACCTCAACTATTGGTCTCACGACACTTTCATACCTCATATTTTTAAAATGACAATGTAATACCTCATTTTACGAATTTGTACCAATGTCATACTTCCGTCAGTTTTTCTATTAATTTCTCCGTTAAGTGCTGACGTGACTACAATTTTTAATAATTAAAAGGGTAAAAGACTGTTTACTACCCTTATATTTTATGGTTTTCAACATTTAGTACATCAAGTTTTTTTTTGTCCAGAGTCATACCTAAAGTGTAAATTTTGGGACAGTTTCATACATCCGTTAGTCAAACTGTTAAATATACCTTTAATTGTGACGCGGCGCCCATGTGGACAATGGTTGGGTGCCACGTGTCATCCATGGTTTTTTTTTCTTTTTTTTTCTTCTTCTTCTTCTTCTTCCTCCGAATCTGCAACTTTTTCTTTTCTTCTTCCTCCTCATTCTTCCTTCTTCCTTCTTCCTTCTTCCTTCTTCTTCTTCTTCTTCTTCCTCCAAATCTGGGGAAGATGAAGGTTTTTTTTTTTTTTTAATCTTCTTCCTCCTTCTTCCTTCTCCTTCCTCCTTCCTTCTCCTTCTCCTTCTCCTTCTCCTTCTCCTTCTCCTTCTCCTTCTCCTTCCTTCTCCTTCTCCTTCTCCTTCTCCTTCTCCTTCTCCTTCTCCTTCTCCTTCTCCTTCTCCTTCTCCTTCTTCTTCTTCTTCTTCTTCTTCTTCTTCTTCTTCTTCTTCTTCTTCTGGGTTGCAGATTCGGTTTTTTTTTTTCTTCTTCTTTCTTCTCCCTCCTTCTTCTTCCTTCTTCTTCTTCTTCCTCCGAATCTGGGTTGCAAATTCGGTTTTTTTTTTCTTCTTCCTTCTCCCTCCTTCTTCTTCCTTCCTCTTCTTCTTCTTCCTCCGAATCTGGGTTGCAGATTCGGTTTTTTCTTTTCTTCTTCTGCCTTCTTCTTCTTCTTCTTCTTCCTCTGAATCTGCAACTTTTTTTTCTTCTTCCTCTTTCTTCTCCTTATTCTTTTCTCCTTCTTCCTTCCCCTTCTTCTTTTTCTTCCTTTTCCTTCCCCTTCTTCTTCTTCTTCTTATTCCTCCGAATCTGGGGAAGATGAAGGTTTATATATATATATATATTTTTTTTTTTAATTTCCACGTGGCGCCCAGTCATTGTCCACATGGGCGCCACGTCACAGTTAACGGGAGACTTAACAGTTTGACTAACGAATGTATGAGACAGTCCCAAAATTTACACTTTAAGTATGACTCTGAGACGAAAAAAACTTGATGTACTAAATGTTGAAAACCACGAAACATAAGGGTAGTAAATAGTCTTTTACCCTAATTAAAAATTAAAAAAATTAAAAATTATTTTTTTATATTAAATCTCTTTATCTCTCCTCTCTCTCTCCCCTCTCTCTCGCCTCTCTCTCTTCTCTGCATTCCCAAAACCCCTTTCCACCCGACCCCCCCCCGACCCCTTCCTACTCGTCCCCCAACCTTCCTCCACCACCTTCTCTTTTTCCTCTCTCTTTCTTTCTCTCTCTTCTGCCTCTTTCTCTTCTCTCTCTCTGGGCAAGTATGGAGGATCCACCCCTAATCCACCCCTAACCCACCCGAAGTCTACTTGCTCCCCACTTATCTCTCTCGCCGTGCCCAGAACCCCCTAAACCCTCCTGGATTTTTTCATCCGCCCTCATTTCTCGGATCTACCTGCAAGCTCCGACCCGCTTCCCTTTCCCACTTCATTGCCCATGGCCGATCCATCGTCGTTTGCCGTCTCCGAAGCTGTTAAGGAGAAGGGGAAAGAGGGAGAGCTGTCAAGGTCGGGGGATGAGGCTGCTGTTGCAACGTGAAAGGGAGAAAGGGAGAGAGAATATGGGAGGAAATAAGATGGCGAATGAAAAAACCCAGGTGGGTTTGGGGGTTCTAGGCACGGTGAGAGAGAGAAGTGGGGAGGAAGGAGACTACGGTGGAGAAGAGAGGGAAAGGCGAGAGAGCTAAGGGGAGAAAGAGGGTGGTGGAGGAAGGTTGGGGGGGACGGGTGGGAAGAGGTTGGGGGGACTGGTGGGAAGGGGTTTTGGGGATGCAGAGAAGAGAAAGAGGCGAGAGAGAATGGGGTGGAGAGAAAGAGAGAGATTTAATATATAAAAAAAATAAGTAATTTTTTAATTTTTAATTATTAAAAATTGTAGCACGTCAGCACTTAACTGAGAAGTTAATAGAAAAACTGACAAAGGTATGGCATTGGCACAAATTCGTAAGATGAGGTATGACATTGTCATTTTAAAAAGATGAGGTATGAAAGTGTCGTGAGACAAATAGTTGAAGTAGTTTTGTGTAATTTACCATAAAAATTTTAAACTAAATACCCACTCATTTCTTTTCTCTCTCTCCTCCCCTCTCACTCTAAATCTCTCTTTCCTTCTTCTATTTTTTTTCATCTTCTTTCTCTCTCCTCCAATCCTATCTCTTCTTTCTAGCGAAATTTTTAATTGTGACGAGAACACGGGTGGTACACCACGTGTTTTTATGTAAGTAGTGAAAAATTATATTTTTTAAGTTATTAACTTTTTGAGACACATATCTCACTACTTATGTCATAACATGTGATGTACCACCCCGTGTGACGGTCACACTGAAAAATCTCCCATTCTCTCTATATCCTTTCATCATTTCTATTCTTTCTCTCTCCTCTAATCTCCTATTCTTTCTCTCTCCTCCGATCTTCCCTTACTTTCTTCCATCATCTATTCTCTTTCTCCTTCCACTGCGATCCTTCTTTTTGGATATCTTTGTCTAGTTTAAGTTTTAAGGTTTAAATTTTTTTAATCTCATATCAAACAAGTTTTTTAGTCTTAAAGAAAATTGTTTTCAAGAGATGTTCTTAAGAATTGTTTTGAGAAATGATGAATTTTCTTTAATAAGATACCAAATAAGCCCTAAGATTTGTGACTATCTTGTTTCTTCGAACTAAGGGTGGGTTCGGTTTCAATTAATTCGGTTTTTTGACAAAACCGAAACCAAACCGAAATTTCGCTTTGGTTCAATTTTTTTTCGTTTTTATTCGGTTCGGTTTAATTTTGGTTCGGTTTTTTTCGACTCAGTTTCGGTTCGATTCGGTTTTTTTATAAGACCTTTTTTTTTAAATTTGAAAATTGGTCTATGCTCTACAACTTTGCTTACAGTTTTTCTGACACACCCCGACCCGAAATGTCCATTAGGACTGTGAATCAAGCTGTGTTGGCTGACACTTGGAAGGTGACGAAGACATAAAGTGTAGTTATATGGAAAATGTGAGTAAATTTAAACCTAAAAGTGCCTAAATACCAGAGTTCGCTGGTAAGCGGGTATGTACCCTCTTCACATGTGTCGTCAGAGCATAAGTAAAGTACAGTAGTGTGGGTAAATATCATACCCTTAGAGGTAGCCACTTATACTAAGATTCACCAAGATTCCTCATCGATACGAACCTTCAGTAGCTAAAACGTGGAGGGGCGCAAAACAGAAAATGTGAGTGGGCAGAAACAAAGTTTTTGAAAACATCTTTCTCTTTAGAAATATAATAACTCCTCACCGTAAAACCCGTATAATTTCTCAAAAAATAGTACTACATATGTATATAGAAATCAGTCTCGAAAGCAATGGAAACAAAGTATATGCCATGCCAACTATCGCAGCAATAAATATGTAAGCCAGGTGAAATAAATCAACATAAAATGATATGTCAGCCGGAGTCACCTAACGTGACTTGTACGGCTGAACCTACTGCTCATCAATCTAGCTGAAGTCACCTAATGTGACATGTACGACTCTAAACCTGCACACGAATGTGATATGTACGACAGACTGGTGTAAATAAGTACGTTCGAGTGCTACAAATACGTGAAGGCTGTGCGAATTATCGCAAGTCACCTATGAGTCGTAATCACCGAATATGGTATGTACGACAGGCTGGTACCTGCCTTGGATCCAAAGTGAGCATGTGGTGCGGAAGGTGAACGATCATGTGAAAGCTAGGCCCTGGCCACGGGTGGAGCACTAACATCGTTGTGCAGGACAATGGGCTCTACGTGCATCCAAACATAACCATATACATCACAACCACTAACATCATAATGTACTAACCTGTAGCTTACCTAGGCATCCGCAGCATCATGCAACATTATCCACAACCCTACGTAACTCAATCCGAGAGATCGACTTGGATTTTTGATCCGTAACTTCCAAAGATACATATTATGTTTCTAGAATAACACACTAAAGTTTCGGAATGATCCAACGGTTGGATCTCCGTCAATTGCCAAAACCAAGTGGCGGTGAACGTTTTATTTTATGAAATTACAAATCCAATTCAGGAAGATCCATATGTTGGATTCCCAATCTGTAAGTTCTTACATTCCTCAAATATTACAAATAATAACCTATTAAAGTTTTATGACGATCCAACGGTCGGATCGTCAATTCATATAAGGACCCATTAACGTATCGTTGAGAATTTAGGGTCAAACAATCAAACTTTGTCATACAATTATCAAAATTGAACTTAAGGCATCTAATTTAACCTAAAAATAGCATTGACGGCCCTCTGGCCACGCACCGCTGTGGGTGGCGGTCGGCAGCCCCAACTCGTTGGAAAATCCAACTATTTCCAAAAATTACCAAAATTTACAAAAATGAAGATCTCAATGAACGGAGAAACTTTCATACTTGTGACTAAGGCCAATTTGGCCTGGAAAAGCCCCAATTCCACAAAAATATGTCGGAAACCATATAGAGGGTGGCCTTCAATTTGACTTCCATACTCACTCCGACGCCTCCACAAACCCTTGGGCTTTGTTCCTGGGTTCTAGGGGAGTGTTCTAGGGGTGGTAATTGAAGGAGATGGTTTTACAATTGGTGGATCCCGAGCAAGGGTCTCGCGGTACCCCCACGGGTTATTCGGTAATTTACAACCAAATCCTTTCCAAATTTGGGTAGAAATGGGAGAGGAAAGGACTAGGCGATGATTGGGAGTGGTGTCTTGATCCAATTCGTGGGAAATCCCGTGGAAAACCACCAGAAAATATGGAGAAATGGGTCGGTTTACACGGGTCACGCTAGTTGAGGGAACTTGTTTCCTCTTTTCCCCCGTTTCTCTCTCCTTTTCCTTTCCCTCCTTTCTTGTTTTCTGATTGGGCAGTGCCCATTTCTTCCTCTCCAAGCCCTCCACGTGGCACCTCAGAATTGTCTAGAGAAATCCAGATTATTATCAAATGATAATTTCACCCCCAACTTTGCTTGTTTATAACTTTTTCGTTATAACTCCAATTTTGATTCCGCTTGCGCCCACGCGTTCGTAATGACGAGTACTTCGAGAATACCCTAACGAATGAGTCTTATGTTTCTTAACCATGGCCAACGTATGTCAAAATCTTTGCCTCTAAGGGCATTTTTGTAAAATCACTATTTTTAAAATTTATAAAAATGTAAAATCCGGGACGGGTCGTCACATTTTCCATTTCAAAGAAAGTAAAGAAAGAAAAAACGAGAAAGAGAAAGAGGATGCAAGAAGAAACAAAGAGAAAGAAGATGCAGGGAGGGGGTTGGGTGGGGAGAAAAAAAGGAAGAAAGCAAAGGGTCGGAAGGGGAGAAAAAAATGGAAGAAAGAAGAGGGTTGGGTGGGAGAAGAAAAAGGACTTGGATTATGGGTTAATGGTTGGCCTAAAATAAAAGCTTAAAATTAGGGTCTAAACTTAAATTGAGCTTGTAATATAAACACTCAAATATTAAATAAATAAATAAACTTAATTATATTTAACTTGGTTTGGTTTTTAAATCATCGAAACCGAAACCAAACGAATAACTTTCGGTTCGGTTTGATTTTCTTACTTCGGTTCGTTTTTTTTTTGTTTGGATTTTTTCGGTTTCGATTCGCTTTTTTCGGTTTTCGGTTTTTCCAACCCATCCCTGCTTCGAACTTGTGAAAAGACAAGCCGTATTTGCCATAATTTTGGTTTGCTGAATATGCTCCTTGATTTGGTAGATGCCATTTGAGAGGTGAATATGTTCCTTCATATGCTATGAAAAGCAGTGAAATGATAACATTGATAAGTTCTTTGGTAAAAAAGCAAAAAATTGATCATTTCTATTTCTCCTTTGTTTTTGCAATGAGAAGGGGACAATACTATTAAAAAATTTCGATAACGTAGTTTATCAGGTCAATTTTTTTATTAGGTGAGACTAAGGAGAGTATGAATAAAATTAAGGAGTAATTAATTTTCTATATTTTTTTCTAACTTGTATAGACTAAACATTTGTTTCTTTACAAAATTTGATTATGATGCTTTGATCAATTGCCAACTCAGTATTTTTCTATTTACTTAAGTTAGGTAACAACTAATTTTCTACAATCTAAAAATTTTAAATTCGTAGCTTTATTAAAAATATAAATTTAATTAATTCCTCATTCTCATTAAAAATATTTAGCACTACCGTCTAATAATATTCCTCCTCACTTTTAAATGAAAAGTCTTATTGTAGACGTTGAAATTTCGGTGGCATAAATGTTAGCCATTGCATTAAGATTACATTTGTAAACATTGAAATTTTGGTGAAATAAATGTTGACCATTGTATTAAAATTACAACCTTCATTCACTTCACCTACATCATACACTAAGTTCACCTACATCATACACCAAGTTTCACCTACAAACATCCACCAAGTTTCACCTACAACATCCACCAAAATTCACCTACAACATCCACCAAAACAAATGGATGGTGGTGATTCGTTCCCAAAGCCTATAAATAGGCTCTTCCATCAAAGAATCAAGAAAACCAATTCACAAATACATTTCTCTACTCCCAAAATGGAAGAGAATACTCCCCACACATCTAAAATCCTTGAAGCTTTGAAACTCTAAAGCTTTCAAGCATCCAACCTCCCAAATTCAAGCAAATCCCGAAGGATCAAGAAAGCCCTATTCGTTCTTCGTCAAATCCTCCTTCAAGATCAAGCCCCAACGGCCCTTGAAGAAATTCCTCCTTCAAGATCAAGCCTCAACGGCCCTTGAAGAACTTCCACCAATTCAAGATCAAGCCTCGACGACCCTTGAAGAAAGTGTTCAACAAATCCATACAACTGTTCATCCTAAGATCAAGCCCCGACGACCCTTTTGGATCAACAACATCACCAAATCCACATAACTGTTCATCCTAAGATCAAGCCCTAACGGTCCTTTGGATCAACAACATCAACAAATCCACACAATTGTTCATCCTAAGATCAAGCCCCAACGGCCCTTTGGATCAATAACATCAACAAATCCACACAACTGTTCATCCTAAGATCAAGCCCCGACGGCCCTTTTGGATCAACAACATCACCAAATCCACATAACTGTTCATCCTAAGATCAAGCCCCAACGACCCTTTGGATCAACAACATCAATAAATCCACACAACTGTTCATCCCAAGATCAAGCCCCGACGGCCCTTGGATCAACAATCATCCATCTTCAAGATCAAGCCCAAAAGCATTTGAAGATCCATTCATTATTATTCTTCAAGATCAAGCCCCGATGGCCCTCGAAGAAAGTGTTCTTCGTTCTTCGTTCTTCCAAGATCAAGCCCCGACGGCCCTTGGATCAACAATCCACCAATTCAAGATCAAGCCCCGACGGCCCTTGAAGAAAGCACCATCGTTCATCATCCGTTCATCCAAGATTAAGCCCCGACGGCCCTTGGATCAACAACATCAACAAATCCACACATCCAACCGTTCTTCAAGATCAAGCCTAAAAGCCCTTGAAGATCCGTTCATCACCGTTATTCAAGATCAAACCTTAACGGTTCTTGAAGAAACACTCATCCTCAAGATCAAGCCCCAATGACTCCTTGAAGATCCACTCAAATCCACCTTCAAAGATCAAGCCCACGGCCGCTTGAAGAAACTTCCAACAGTTCATTCAAGATCAAGCCTCGACGGCCCTTGGATCAACGAAACATCCACAAATCAACACCTTACGGAGATCGAATCAGAGGATCAAAATAGAGAGAGATTGTAACCCAAAATCATCAAACACAAATATTTTGTTTGTGCACGTTGTTCTTGTCTCTTTCGTTTCAGGAATTTTCCGTGTTCACACTTATGCTTGATTCTCGTCAAGGTGAAGTTGGACCATATTATTATGGCAATCTCATTATAAGATTTAGCCCACTCTCTCACCCCCCATAGTGTAGATACTATTTTTTTTAACAAATGATATTATCTATACACTAAAGGGGCATGGGAGTTAACTAAGCTTCATAATGAGCTTAGTGTGAATACTATTGTTTGTTAAAAAAAAAGAGTAAACTTTTATTTATGTTATTATATTTAGTTAGTCAATTTCTTCATTAAAAAAGTCATTAATACTTTTAAAGAAAACTTCATTAATATGTTAAAATTTTATGCATAGTTATATAAAAAATGTATTTAAAACTTATGGTACATTTGAAAATAAAAGTACCTACTTTTGGTACGTTTAAAGTCTAAATGTACCAAGAAACAAAATGCACTAGAAAGCCAAATGTGCCATAAAATCAAATGTACCCATAGTATGGATTATCAAATGTGCCAATATAGTCAAACGTACCTCTAATAAAATTGTAGAAAAAAATGTATGATCAAATTCATAAAAAGAACAAATGTTTAATCAATGAAATTGAAAAATAAGGTGCATATATTAAAACGTCCCTAAAATTAAAATACAAAAGAATCTCCTACTTGAGTGAAAAACAATATGAAAAGCAAGGAAGGGAAAAAGCCAAATAAATAAAGTTATATATATTCATATAAAGAACTTTGGATGACAACACATTCCCATATGCACATGTTGGTAGGAAAAATTTGCTCAATTATCAAAGATTAGATCAAGAAAGAGGAAAAAAATATAAGAGGTGGAAAGATGCCTCTATAGATTGGCAAATTATTGAGCATTTATGTGTATTGTGTGATACAATCTGTCTTCCTCCAATCATGCCCATTTGTTCATCCCAGCTGTAACTAAACTCCAACCACCCTCCCTCTTGGGTCCCAACCCCTCTTTTTCCAATCCAATCTTCCAACTCACCATCCAATCTGCATCCTCACCATCCCATGATGTCCCCATTCCTTGATGTCCCATTTCATTTGCCACCCTAGCTCATTCTCTTCTGGTGGTGAAACAACGTGAATATCTAAACCAATCACGTATTGTCACGTAAAAGAGTTAATATATATAAACAGTCATGGTGCGTGATTGACTTGAAATATTATCATGGATGTCATCTGATGATGATGATGATGATGATAGTCTACCAAAGGATAGATATAGTTTCTCATTCAACTTTCCAGGCATAAAGAAACAAGCAAAACTCAGATGAACCGGCAGAAGTTGCGTTATTAATCCCTTCTACTGACCCAGAACTAGTCTGAGATGACAATGGAGTTGATGCCAATGACGAAAATGGCGGTGAGGACGACGAGGTTCTCGACAATGGCGATAGAGATGTACTTGAAGCAGGCAAATTTGGCTTGAAAATAAACAATGCATGCCTTAATCCAGGACTAAAAAGCCAGTCATGGACATCCCAATAAACCTCAATTCTCAACTTGTTGATGTGAATGGACTCATTACCTCTAAACTTCCATTGAAGATGCTTCACATGAACCACCAAATGCCCATCAACCCTAATCTCCAACTCTGGCTCCACCCCATTAAGGGTACTTCCACTCCCAATGCTCCCGCTGCCACCGCCGCCGCCACCACCTCTGTTTTTGCATTCAATTGCAATTTCATGCGATCTGCCTCTCTCATAAAACTTAGCTTTTGTGGAAAACTTCTTCTTACCAAAAATGTGCTCCTTTTTGGAAACCAAAGTGGGATCAGTCAGGGCAGGTCTAAAACCTGCTTTTCTATAAGCATCTTTTTTGAGATCACCAAGAACCAAAACAACTTCCTCGTCACAAACAACCGCCACGTAGTACTCCGACTTCGGCTCCGTCCCGCCGTTAAATTTCGCCGCCTTGAGGTCCCAGAAGATTTCCACTGCTTTCTCATCAACCACAAAGCGCTTGGAACCTTGCTTCCTCCAGAAGTACCACGGCTTGAGTTCAACTTTGCAAGTGTGCTGCTGGGTTTGATCTCCATCCGGACCCTCCACGGACACCGACAGGCCGTGGAGGAGCAGGTTTTTGCACCATGTGATCGTGATCAAGCGGCTCTGACCGGCTATCTTGGCTCTGTACACTGACATGCACACACTGTGGCCTGACCTAGTCACAGCCGAAGCATCATCACTTAACTTCTCACCTGATGAGAAGCAAGCAGGAATGCCAATGTGGTCTTGCATTTTCGCAACCAGGACGGATTCAGGATTTGAAAATAGAGGACGCTGAACTTTTAACCAGGGACAGATCCAGGATTTTAAAAGTTATTTGTGCTAAACATTTATTAGCAGGGACGGATCCAGGATTTGAAACTGAGGCGTACTTAACGGCCTTTCGGAAGTGGAAGATGAGGAACAAATTGGAGGAAGGAGAGTTGGGGGGAGAAGGGAATTTTTAAGATGGTGGGAGAGAGTGAGTGAAGATCTTAGTCACAAGATGTGTTGAGTCACAGATGCTGCCAGAGGTGTGTTTGGCAGCACTGATTGGAATAAACAATTATTTCCAAACTGGCAGATAGACTGGCAGTGAGTGAGAGTGAGTGTATGGAACCACCTTTTTTATTCTTTTTTTTTTATAAAAACATTATTCAGTTGTCTGCACCAATGCTAACCTCTCTCTTACCTGGATTTCAATTTGTTTATTTTGTTAATATTTATTTTAATTTTGTTACCGTTTTATTTTTTAACATTGACAACTTTATTGAATCCGAGGTGGTTTTGCTTCTACTGCACTTAAATTACATATTTCCATGCATGTTTAAAAGCAGCAATTGACCATTTGTCAAGAGATTAGGGTTCAGATTTCTACACAAAGTCAAAGAACATGTTTGACAAATGATCTGTAGAGCAGGAGAATCATAACGATGCGAAGTGCTACTAGTTAACGTATTGTATGTGTGGTGACATAAATGAAACAATAACAGCTTATGAAAAACGACTATACAAAGCTAAGGGTGAAAGAGTTGGGTATTTGGTTTGCTTTCCAATGTGGGTCTGTGGAGTTTTTAATTATTTGAATATGTGTTCATAAAGTTTGCATATGGGAGGTGCAACTTTTTTCAACTTTGCATTCAAAGATGTGTAATGTAGGAGAGGAATCTGAGACTTGGGGAGGGGTAGCTGCTGCAGATCTGGTCCAGCTAGCTCCCTCCTTGCATTGCAGCCCTAAGGCTACCCACTAATGCTTGCTTAATAATGCTTGGATAATGTTCTCTTTCTTATAATTTTAGATAAAATGGAATAAACAAACACATAAGTTTTGTGGGGGCAATGTGTGGTGTGGTTCTTATTCACATTGTGTCTTTTGCACACTCACATGGAACTCACCCTTAGAAAGGGATATATTGTTATTCACACCCCCGTTTGTACCTTTCACACATTTTTGTTAATGTTTTACTATTGATCATCTTCCATTTATTCGATCTGATGACTGAAAATTGAGAAGGGTGTGTGAGAGGTAAAAATGGGTGTATATACTATAGATAGCACTACGCTTAGAAAATTAGGGAAGATTTTTTTTAGCCAAAATGGTTCTTAAGATTGGATAACTCTTCACTTTGCTCCCCAACATTGAAAACTGAAAGAAGTGATCCATGAGTTTGTCTAGCGTAACTGTAACATCCCACATCGCCCATAGGAGTGATCCTTAAATGTATATTCTCATCCTTACCTAACACGAGGCCTTTTGGGAGCTCACTGGTTTCGGGTTCCGTGAGTTTCCAAAAACAAAACCGTGAGGGAATGGTAAGCCCAAAACGGACAATATCGTGCTACGGTGGTAGAGCGGGCCCGGGATGTGGTGGACCCGGGTCGGGATGTGACAGTAACTCACTTTGGTTATTCCTTGAAAAAATCTATCAATATCTTCGTTAAGTGGAGAAGTTGGTTTGACAAAAATACCTTAAAAAGTTGGTGATCACGTGGTTGCTCACTGTGACGATTTAACGATGATATTGACAAATTTAATTTTTCACAGAAGAACCAAAATAATTTACGATGAACAAATTCAATGAACACTTCAATTGATTTTCATTGTCAATGACTAAAGCAAAGAGTTATGTCAATCTTAGAAACTATTTTGGCTAAAAAGCTATTAAAGATTCTCACTTATACGACTGCGACGATATTTTAAGTCAATCAAAACATTGTTATATATTTTAACTTTTTTCACGTGACAATACTGAATTCGCTTCAAATATCGCCACATTGATACTCTAGTTATAGCTATGTTCACGTAAGAAGAATAAGGAAATGAAATTCTTTATTTTGATCCTCCATGGTAAAGCTTCATCAAATGGAACCCAACTGTCTTGCAAAGAAAAAAAAAAGGTGAAAGGTATCATCGTGTGGCGTTTTCCACAAAATAATTATTAGAGTTGGTTTACAACCACCACCATTTACTCTTTTCATCGAGGGAAAGTTCAAAGTAAAAAAGAAAAAAGATATTATACATTGGTAAATTATTTTTTCTTTTTTGTAAGGATAAATTGAATTAATAATTTTCGTAATGATAAGATACTTAAAATATAATTTCTGTGGTAAATTTTGGATTTAAACTCTCGTAAAAACTATTAACAAGTCAAAATCAAAAGTATGATTTACCTCCATTAAATGCGACAATAAATATGTACTTTTGTCGAACCCCATGCCTTCTTTTGTTCACGTTCTCTCTCATTCTCTGTTCTCTCTTTAATCTGTATCAAAAAAGGTCGTACCCAGTGCACAAGGCTCCCGCTTTACGTAGGATCTGAGAGAGGTGAATGTCGGCTAGCCTTACCCCCATTTTATGGAGAGGCTGCTCCCAAGCTCTTTAATCTGTATCACCTTCACCAAATACACAATCACAGATTCATGTTTCTTTCTCCTTGGCTTCTTTTTTCTGATTTTCTTTGTATATTATCACATTTGTTTGTCTGTTTTTGTTCTTGGGCGACCGGGTTTTAAAGCGGAGGCATTATTATGTTAGATATTGTACTGATGTGCTTTATAAAAAGTGGGTATAAAAAAAATTGAGCTTAAAAAGATGTTTAGTAAACACTTAAAAACAACTTATTTTCATAGTTTTGAGTGAAAAAAAACTGAAAACGTGAAGCAATAAAAATGAGCTTATTCTCACAGTACAACAGAAATAATTTTTTTTCAAAGCACAACAATACCAAACCAGCCTATTGTGTCTTGTTAGTAACCCAATGTAGGCATTGTGTTTGTTATGATGGAAATGCAGATGGTTGAAGATGACAGGTAGAGGAATGGGAACAGAGAAGGAGAAGCACTTACATCTCTGAGGAAGAAAGAAGGAAGAGGTATGCCCTACTTGTGGCAACCATGACTCACTTGAGTGCACTTGGGACAGAGAGAGGAAGGGTAACAGAAAGAGAGCGGTGGGTCATTTTTATCTCTGCATTTAACTGAGATTTGATAGAAATTTCACTTACGGTTAAATTTGCTAACAGTTTTCACCACGAGTGTCACGTGGGTTATCTTTCAAATACCCTATCACTACGGACCATTAATTTAATTTGGCCTTTCGTAAACAAGGAAAAGGAAATTACAAGGAGAAGAACGAAGTTGAAATATAAAATATTACTGGCAAAGAATGAACCCAACCTTTCTCGCGTAATTGAGAATATATTAGCAAACATCAACGACCAAAAATGAGAATGAGCTATATATTCGTAAAATTGGTAAAGCTAGTTGGCTTTATTTAAAAAATAATTAGAATTATCATAACTTAGTTGTCATTCCTGACATATCTTGCGTGCACAAGAAATAAAAAAACGGGTGAGTTCCATGTTGAAAAATAATTAGAATTATCATAACTTAGTTGTCATTCCTGACATATCTTGCGTGCACAAGAAATGAAAAAGCGGGTGAGTTTCACGCTGAAGCTGAGTATATCATACGATTCATACCTATACAACCATGTTTTTTCTTTTCTGTTCAGTTGACAGCTTCATTTCAAACCACAAAAACGAAAGAAAAGAAACAACAAACAAGGAGAACGTCTCGTACCTGAACAGCCAGACATCATTCTCGTTCTTCACTATTGCCACACTTGCCTCATAAGATGAGATATTACAATTAACGTTTAATAGGCCCAAAGTCCATTACTGGGCCAGTCAGGTTGTTGATATAGGCCCGTTTCCTTGGTCCCAAATCGGAGCCCCAAATGCCCATGAAGCCACTGAGGTCATTTTCGTCTATCTACCCGCACATAAACCCCAATTCCCAAACGGCCGCGGGTTTTGGGTACCGTCACTGGGATTGTTGTCACCGAGCAAGACCTGGAGCTGGGTAAGCCACCGATCATCCCTCCCCGTTTGGTTCCGTAGAAAACCCAATAGAAAATTGCATCCATTTTCTCAGTAACCAAACAGGAAACTTGATTGCAGACCCACACCGTAAAAATGCAATCTTTAAGTGCGAGCATCCGATTGGTCCGAAGGCAAAGGGTCGACAGCTCAAAAATTGCTCATTTCAGATCGATTGGAGCTTACCAATTGAGTGGAGGTTCTGGGTTTAGTTCGTTGGCGTCGGATCGTTTGGCCTCTGCCAAGAAATTGGGGGATTTATCGGGTTTTGGGTCTTCGAAGAGTTCCTTGTTTCAGTCAGTTTCCAAGTTTTCGTATCGATCTTCGGCCCCGTTCGTATGTTTTCGACTCGCTATGCCCTCTCTAATAGCATTTTAGCATGTTTTGTGAGCTATTTAATTTGAAGAATACATTTTGAACGTGTTTATAGTTTTGAATTTTACTCTGCATATGTATGTAATTGTGAATTTTAGGTTTTTGGAATTAAAAAGCACAATTTTTTTAGGGTTTAGTTTAAATGTTGGTACATTTACGAAAAGACGATTTCTTTGTTAAATTTGAGGTTTTTGATGCAATTGAAGCCTAGATGACATGTCATTAACACATTTTTTTGTTTTGTGGTGTATAATTCATTTGGAGAGCAAGATTTTGTCTTTCTTTCCAAATATAGTGTTTTTCTGATGCTTGTAGTGTTATTCTACCAGACAACAACGAGCTCTCAAAATGCGGCCCCAGCTTCCTGTAATTCCAGCTTATTCAAGAGTGCTCGACTAAGCTCTTTTCGATGTGCGGCAGTTTCACCTCCTTTCCCGAGCAGGTGCATTGCAACAGGGGGAAATTCTGTTCAGTCAGCCACTCAAGATTCAGGAATGTCTGTCTCTGATGTAGCTCCTTGCATCAAATTCAAGAGGCTTGATAAAACTGCCCACCACATAATGCAGGCATGTGTGTATCTATTTGTATTCGTGACAATACATAACACATTTTCTATTCCTGTTATATTTATATTAGTTGATTTATACGTCACAGATTCTAGATAAGGAAGCTTTAGAGGAAGTGAAGGCGCAGAGAGAAATACCAGACGTTAGGCCTGGTTATATGGTGCAACTCAGAGTGGTATGATGTGTTCTTTTCGGAAAACAAATGGTGTTATAATGCTCCTTATGCTGTGGAGGGAGTTCCTCACGAGATTGAGTCCTTTTTTTATTCTCAACGCTTTTCCGTATGTGAACAGGAAGTACCCGACAACAAGCGACGTGTTTCAGTCGTGAAAGGTGTTGTGATTGCTAGACGTAATGCTGGTCTAAACACTACAATTAGAATCAGGAGGCAAGTGGCTGGAGTCGGGGTTGAATCTCTCTTCCCATTGTAAGCAATTCTGATGTTTATTTTCCTTTACTATTGATGGCTCTAGTGGTCTTTGACTCCCTTCTTTAAGCTGGAAAGTGAACATGTGATTTCTTAGCTGGATGTCCTGGAAGCGGGTGTATTGAAATGTTGCCATACTCAGTTATTCTCAACTCTGATCATACGAGTATTAGATGCTTGCACAGCATTATCGATACGATTTTCATTGAAAAATAGTTATTTGTATATTTTGTGGTAACGTGTTTATTAAAGTGGAGCCTGTAAAAAGGTACTGAATTTTATTAGTCAAAATTCTGTACTCTGAAAACAAGGAAACTAATCATGCTCAGTAAACATTGCTTATTAAAGCTCTGGGTTCATGACCGTGAACTGATTAACTTCAACGCAAGTTTAGGTTTTCAGTTTTTTTTCCACAAATTACTATTTGAGGTGAAACAGACGATTAACTTGGGGTTGGGGCTAGCGCTTCAAACAAAAGTTTATTTCTATTGATATCTGATAATTTCATCTGGAGTTCTCATGTGTGTGGGATTTTATCGTTCGTTTCACATAAGTAGATAATATGCTGTCAGTCTCTACAAAATGACCGACGAAGTGGATAATGTTTGGCAGGTATTCGCCTAACATAAAGGAAATTAAGGTGCTGGACAAGAAGAAAGTGCGGAGGGCCAAGCTGTACTATGTCAGGGACAAAATCAATGCATTCAAGAAGCAATCGTAGCTAGTGGGATCAAAAGGATGCTGCCTGACAAAGATTGTGTCCCATGTATGACTTAGGTCAGAAATCCAGCAAAAGTTTTGGTGATTTCTTTTCCTCATTCTTTTTCTCCTTTGAACGCATGAGTAGTCTGTGAATCTTCATCAAGTCTTTGAGAATCTGTGATGCCTGGTAGAAATGTGCGAGTTCAATTGAAAGCCGGGGAAGTTACCAGAATTGTTTACTTTCGATGATAGAACAGTGTGTACTCAGGTTGATGAATGTTATGAAGTTGTTGGCATAAATGTGATTGTTTGTTACACAAGTAGGACTATTTTCTTCAGTATATTCCTTATTTGGCTAAAATTTGGGTTTGCATGCCAGAAGTCTAGCCAAAGAAGATAAAAGTGGGAGAAATGTAGTATTATTTCACCTTGGTCATCTTCATCTGTAGTTTCTGATCCATTGGTCACCTCTTATGTTACTACTGAGAACTTTTTAAGTGTGATTGTTGTCACACTGCCTCGTAATGTTACCAATTCACGTGCTGTAATATTGTACCATTGAATTTGTAACACAACGTGCTGGTGTAACGATCATATTGAGAATATCTCATTGCTGGCATCGATATTTTGATCATCAACTTTTTGAGTTTTGAATGCTTGAATTGTATTTGTATGTGAATTTCAGCTATGAGGTCACCATCAGCATTTGTGTGCCAGTTAGTCATCTCTGCTACATTTATGAAACAGAAAGAAAGAGGTTACTGGCGAAAAGATTTTTCAGAAGAATTATTTTAAAAATTTGCATGACGATGATGATTAATGAGATTACGACTAATTAACGTCACATTACCTGTTAATTATTTTGTATTAAAATTTCGAAAACCTACTAACCTAATAGGAATGGTAGGTCCTTTTTTGGGTGTTTGTTGATGATTAATGAGATTACGACTAATTAACGTCACATTACCTGTTAATTATTTTGTATTACAAATTCAACAACCCACTAACCTATTTGGAATGGTACTATGGTAGATCCTTTTATTGGTGTTTGTTGAGATTAGATTTGATCAACATTCCTTGTTACAATTTACACACGCATCAAATTGTAATTTAAATATCTTCACTTTACCCTATAAATGGGCTCTTTCTTTTCCTAACATGACTTTTTCAAAGCACTTTCAATTGATTGGTTAGTCTTATAAAGAGTAGTACCAAAGTGATCAAACTAATTAATTAAACAACTACGGGATGACTTAATAGTTGATGATGAACTTCAAGCACCGTATTTTACATGACACGTCTTGAGTTTGATTCCTGGAGCTGGAGAATTACACGATGATAGCCAGCAAGAAGCTGAAATGCCTCTTAGAGTATTAAAGTGTCAGATTATTATTATTATTATTAAGAGAGAGAGTTCAAAACCATTGGAATAATTTTTTGGAGAGGGAAGATTTTCGAACTTGAGACTTATGAGTGAAAACAGAACACTCTATCCACTAAAATATTAGACCACATGTAATTATCAATTTCTAAATACAAGTATATAAAATATAGCAACCTCCAAAAACTAAACAGTTAACAAGTTAATACCACGCTAAATATTCGATAACCTCAAATTAATATTTAATCAGGAGAGCGTACTTGTAAAACATTATAACCGTTGGATGGCTCCACACTCCACGTAAAGAATGAACGTGGGAAAGATCCGAAGATCCGGCACCTAGCAATTTAAGGTGCGAAAGTTAGCTGAAGAAAACGCGCGTAGCAGATTACTCCCCCATGCCCTCCCTCAAACCGGCAAACCCCACCTTTCCGAAAATCAAATCAAAATCGCAGTTAGTTCATCTTCTGATTTGCTCTGTGTCTCCCTGCCAAATCCAACGGCTTCGCTTTCACGTTTCAATCTCTCTCTCTCCTCCCTTCACTTTCTCACACCTCCGCAAACGCACGCTCCGTCGTCTTCTTCTCCACCTTCATACTTCAGCACCTCCGAGTTCCGGTTCCCTAATACGGTGCGTATTGGGATTTGATTTCGGGGCTAACAGCGGGCGGAATTGACGTTTCGGGCTCGATTTGATTGGAAAATACGAACGAGTTGTCGAGAATGCCACAGGATTTGTCGTCGGAGCGAGACACCGACGATGCTGATACCGAGTTCGTTGAGGTTGATCCCACTGGTCGATACGGTCGGGTCAGTAGCCTATTTTTCGCTCTCTTTTTTTTTCTTTAATTTCCATTTTTTCCTGTTTTTTTTTATTGTTTGTTGATTTGATTTAGCTGGTTTACTCTTGAAATGTTTGGAAATTAATTACTCAATGCTTTAAAGTCTTAATCTTTTATCAATAAAGTTGTGATTTTGACTGATTTGTGTTGAATTCTCTTTTGTTTTTGGTGATTTTGCAGTATAAAGAGGTTCTAGGAAAAGGGGCTTTCAAGAAAGTGTATCCTTTTGCTCTCATTTGTTAATTTACTAATTATTTTTCGAATTTTAATTTTTGGGTTTTTTAGTTGGATTCAAATGCTGTGTGAATTTGAACCATTTTACTTTGATATCATATTGAGGCCGAATTGTGTTGTGGATCTATTTTTGTGTGGCCTTGATTGGTATGGAACTTAGATATCGAGCATTTGATGAATTGGAAGGTTTAGAAGTAGCTTGGAATCAGGTTAAGGTGGCGGATCTATTGCGCAACTCTGAAGATTTAGTGCGGCTTTATTCAGAAGTTCATTTGCTTAAGACTTTAAAGCACAAGAACATAATTAAGTTTTACAATTCGTGGGTCGATGCCAAGCATGAGAACATCAACATTATTACAGAGATTTTCACTTCGGGAACTTTACGACAGTGAGTTTTTAGTGATCCATTGTTGTCTAACATTTGATGTCTGTGGTTCCTTTATGATTTTATTCAGTTTTTCAGTGTCCATTATTGTGTAGGTACCGGAGAAAGCATAAGCATGTTGATTTGAGGGCGTTGAAGAAATGGTCTAGGCAGATCTTAGAAGGCCTTTGGTATCTTCATAATCATGATCCCCCAGTCATCCATCGAGATTTGAAGTGTGACAACATTTTTGTCAATGGGAACCAAGGTGAGGTCAAAATTGGTGACTTAGGACTCGCTGCTATTCTTCGCCAGGCTCGTTCAGCTCACAGTGTTATTGGTGAGGACTAAAAATATAATCAGTTATCTATATTTTCCTTCCGCAATAATATTAGTGCAGAATCTTTCTGTATCAGAGCTGGCAATGTAAGTGTTTTATCACCTTAGGTACCCCGGAGTTTATGGCGCCAGAGCTTTACGAAGAGGAATACAACGAGCTTGTAGACATTTATGCCTTTGGCATGTGCTTGTTAGAGTTGGTGACCTTTGAGTATCCATATGTTGAATGTTCCAATGCTGCTCAAATATTCAAGAAAGTGACATCAGTAAGGGCTTCATGACCTTTAGTGTTTTCACTGTCATAGACTCATAGTTGAGAAGAATTTCTTGTCCTTGAATGTTACATCATTTAAAAGTGTTTTAGATAATTTCTTGTCCTTCACGGTCACTGGATCTGTCAGACTCTCAAGTGTTTTAGATAATTTCATTTTTCCAGATACATTGCATTTCTTTTAATTGTTGTTAATGGTTCATCAAAGTGGATTGTGATGCATGATTCAGTTGTTTAGCTTGTTTCACTAGAGCAACTTTGGATCCTTTCCCACCAATACAAAGGTTAATACTTGAATTCTAGGCATAATTGCACAAAAATCTCCTGTGGCGAATGATTATTTTACATTCTAACATGGTCCTTGCATCAGCTTTAACATGGTTCTTAACTTCTTATATCAGTTCTGACATGGTCCTTATATCAGATCTTTTTCTGTTGTGGTAGGGAGTAAAGCCAGCATCGTTGGAAAAAGTGACAGATCCTGGAGTTAAAGCATTCATAGAAAAATGCATTGTGAAAGTTTCAGAACGCTTGCCTGCGAAAGAACTTCTGATGGATCCTTTTCTCCAATCAGATGATAATCGTGAAAGTATATCTCGCTCTCTACGACCCACTCATTATTCAGGTAAAGTGAGTTGTTTATCTAGTGCTCAAAGGATTTTTGTGTTATTCTCCTCACATTGTGACATGCTAGATGCAGAAGGCAGTTCTGATCAGACTGATATTGAAACAAAGGATACGGACCCTTCTCATGAGACAAGCAGAGACTTCAGTGTGCAAGGTCAGAGGAAAGATGACACGATATTTCTGAAATTACGAATAGCAGATTCTACAGGTAACCTTTTCTTTCTTTTCCACTTTTCTATTTTATTTACTTTTCTGTCAAAGAAGTATGTTTTTATGCCAGCTCCCGCTCTTAAAACTGAGAAAGTTTCCACCTGGGCCCAGGTCATTTTCGAAATATTCACTTTCCATTTGACATTGGGGAAGACACTGCAATTGCTGTTGCTAGTGAAATGGTTCAAGAGTTAGACCTGACAGATCAAGACGTTTCAACACTTGCTGAAATAATTGACTCCGAAATCCATTCCCACATTCCAGATTGGCCACACGGAGAAGATTCTGGAGACCATATTGATGGTGAGGCCTCAACTCCTTATAGCCATGCTTCTGAGTCTAAGGAGGATGCTTCTCCCTTAATACACGAGGCCCTTCTTTCTAATAGTCTTGCGTTAGAAAGATTGCCTTCAGGCCGCAAGTACTGGTGTGACTCACCCAAGGAAGGTGGTGGAAATTCTCCAGCTAAGTATTTCTTTTCTAATTTGAATTCTCCAGCGGCTTCAGTCACTGCAGGAGGTACTGAAGAAAATGAGAACTCTGCTGGTAGCAGCCCTAGGGAGGAAGATGATGCAAATGGTGCTGGCGCCTCAGATTCACCAAATGGTGGTGTTGAGGAAGATGAGAGATCTCCTGGTGGCCCTAGAGAGGAAAATGATCCAAATGGTGCTGGAGCCTCTGACCCACTGAGTGGTGATAGTCATAATGCAGCTACTGATCCGCATCTTATTAATGGAGTTCTTCCATTTGAATCAGAAGTAAAGATCATTGCCGAGAAACTCGAGAATCTATTGGTAGAACAGAAAAAGGAGTTAGATGAGCTCAAGAAGAAACATGAATTAGCAATATCAGAACCATTGAAAGAACTGCCCCCAGTTTTCCGTCAAAAGGTTTTAGATATATGTAAGATGAGATTTCCAGACTACAAAATGCAGCTTGAGGCAGACTGCTAAACCAAGCAATTTGCAGGTTCAGCTCCTCGTATCTGTTTCACGTCTCCACTTCCAATGCTGGGATATCTAGATTGTTTATTCAATTTTCCAGTGACAGAAATAGAAATCGCAGAGATATTCTATACTTCGGTGAAGTTGGGGAGCATGAGCTAGTAGCGGTATCTGATGCTGCTGGATAGACATTGAGAGATTAGTAATATAGATCCAGCAAACCATAGCCTGGAGGACAATCAAGCTTGTCATCCAGATCAGCCTTTAGAGCGACCCCTGAAGCCCTACAGATTCCGGCACTTGAACTCCCGCGAGGTAACACATCAGCCTGATAAGTCGATTTGAATACGGGTTCACCATCACGTGGAGTATATACCTGTACAGATAAATTCTTTACCCTTTTTTTTCTTCAGTTATACCTCAAATCAGTGAGTTGAGCAAATTTGAAAATTATCTTGGTTTGGGTTACTTGTTTGTCAAGTTATTGTTGTGGGATGCTTTGCCCTTGTGTTGTTTGTTGAGTTGCATAGTTTTTTTCTGGATTCCAAAACCCTTCACCAATCAAAATATGAGGCTGGTGGTCGTGGCACGTTTGCCATGGTAGATTGTGACTCCACAATCCACAATGCCATATGATTTGCTTCGGAAAGTTAAGGTATTTGAAACAATTACGTGGCACAAAGGGAGTCTGTCTTTTAGGGTTGCCATCCCACATGGACACAAGTCACCATCTATGAGTCCATTTCATGTACTTTGTAGCCACAAAAAAATTTTGAGAGCCCCCATTGGCATTATTTTGAAGGATTCGTATCCCATATGGATTCAAAGTGTAAGGATCTTAGGGATTTCTACGTCCTAACTATTTGTCATATATCGTGCAGCAAGAAATCATTTTGAATTTTATTATCTAAAATTAAACATAAATGGTACCTAATAAAAATTGATCGTACGATGTACAACAAACGGCCATGATGTGAGGATTCATAGGATCCCCACAAAGAAGATCTGGAGAGAATCCTCATCCTATTTTGAAAATCAGATGAAGTTCTAAAGAAAAAAAAAAAGAAAAATGATTTTTACCCGTTATTTTTATTATTCTACACATTTTGTTTATTTTTTATTTAAATGATCATAAATAAGCAGAAGTATGTAGGGGGAGATAAATGATTTGTGAAAATAGGCGGAGGTGTTATTTTCACACAAAAACATAATATGATGGTTGGTGTGTTGCCAAATCAAATTATTTTCAAATAACTTAAAAAGTGTAAGTTTTGAATAAAAAAAAAATCAGCACACACCTTTTTGGTACTTTATACATTTCGTTAATTTTTATTTGATTTATTCAATTTAATGACTAAACAATAAAAAGCGGCTCCAGAAGCTTAACCGTATGTGAAATTCAGACCTCACTACCGAAAATTCGGTGTATTTCGAATATGAATGGATATTGAAGTTCCGAATTTCGTTGCAATGGAATGGAATAAATTGAACCGGAATTGAAAAGAGAAACCCTTGAAATGCAATTAGAGCGGGTTTTATTTTCACACGTGTGAGGATATAACCCTAGTTGCACAAAAACCCCAAACCCCCACCAGTAAGACTAACTCCCTCTAAAACTCAGGCAGAGAAATGGATAGACCCCCGTATGAGGTCCTCCGTTGTCTTCCCAAAACAAGATAACACTATCCCTCTCTCGCTCTCCTTCCTCCTTCACATTATCCCCAAAACCCCCCAAATCCGAGCCCCTATCTTCTTCCTCCTTCCTCCCTTTCTCTCTCCTCCCACTTTCTCTCTCTAAAGACTCTGTCTTTCCATGGCAATCTCCACACTAGCAGCTACAGCTGCAACCTCAGCTTCCTCAAAGCTCACTTATCCATATGCCTCCCCAGCCTCCCCTTCCCCCACAACCCCTTCTTTCTCCATTAGACCTTCTTCCAAGCTAACCCACCTCTCCTCCTCCTTCCTAAACCCCTCCACCATCCTCCACCTCACACCCTCCACCGCCACCCCCCACCACCACCACCGACGCCGCAACTTCACAGTCAAAGCCGCCAGAGGCAAGTTCGAGCGCAAAAAGCCCCATGTCAACATCGGCACAATCGGCCACGTCGATCACGGCAAAACCACCCTCACCGCCGCGCTCACCATGGCCTTGGCCTCCATCGGCAACAGCGTCTCCAAGAAGTACGACGAAATCGACGCCGCCCCGGAAGAGCGCGCCCGTGGAATCACCATCAACACCGCCACCGTCGAGTACGAGACCGAGAACCGCCACTACGCCCACGTCGACTGCCCCGGCCACGCCGATTACGTCAAGAACATGATTACCGGCGCCGCCCAGATGGACGGTGCCATTCTCGTCGTCTCCGGCGCCGACGGCCCAATGCCGCAGACCAAAGAACACATCTTGCTGGCGAAGCAGGTGGGTGTGCCCAACATGGTGGTGTTCTTGAACAAGCAGGACCAGGTGGACGACGAGGAGCTCCTGCAGCTCGTCGAATTGGAGGTGAGAGAGCTGCTTTCTTCCTATGAATTTCCTGGTGATGATGTGCCTATTATTTCTGGATCTGCATTGCTTGCACTAGAAGCTCTAATGGCGAATCCCACCATTTCGCGAGGCGAAAATCAATGGGTTGATAAGATTTATGAACTTATGGACGCTGTTGATGATTACATTCCGATTCCTCAGCGGCAGACTGAGCTGCCGTTTCTGATGGCAATCGAAGACGTGTTTTCGATCACTGGCCGTGGCACTGTCGCCACTGGCCGTGTCGAGAGGGGGAAGGTTAAGGTCGGAGACACCGTCGACATTGTTGGCTTGAAGGACACCAGGAACACAACTGTCACCGGTGTCGAAATGTTTCAGAAAATTCTTGATGATGCCATGGCTGGTGACAATGTGGGGTTGTTGCTTAGGGGTATTCAGAAGATTGACATCCAGAGAGGGATGGTTTTGGCCAAACCCGGGACTATTACCCCGCATACCAAATTCGAGGCCATTGTGTATGTGTTGAAGAAGGAAGAGGGGGGGAGGCATTCGCCGTTCTTTTCGGGTTACAGGCCTCAGTTTTACATGAGGACCACTGATGTCACCGGGAAGGTGACTTCGATTATGAACGACAAGGATGAGGAGTCGAAGATGGTGATGCCTGGCGATCGCGTTAAGATTGTTGTCGAGCTGATTGTTCCGGTGGCGTGTGAGCAGGGGATGAGGTTTGCTATCAGAGAAGGAGGGAAGACTGTTGGAGCTGGCGTTATTCAATCCATTATCGAGTGATAGAAAATAGAAATTATGTGGTGGTCTGAACTTATTTTTGCAATTTGGTGTCAAACTTGAACTCTCTTAGCTTCAATTTTATCTAGCTTTTGACATTTCCAAGCAATTTCCACAACGAAATGTTATATATTTTGTAGGTTTCATCATCCCAATTTGCTCTGCTTTTTTTGATGATTCATTTGTTAGTTTGATTCCTAGCTTGGTCATGTGAGATCGAGAGATGCGGATGTATTCCCGGTTCTGCCATGGTTGTATGGCAGAACGAGTGAGGTTTCACGCCGGATTCTTAACATAGTTATGCGAGATCGAGAGACGCGGATATACTCCCGGTTCTATGGCAAAACGAGTGAGATTTCACGTCGGATTCTTAACTTCGCTAAAGCTTTGCACTCCCAAGTCCATGTTCAATTTGAAACTCCATCGACTCAAAATGTTTCTGTTTTTTACTCTAAAACAGCTTAATCAAATTATGACTCGAGTTAATTACAAAATACTTGAGTCCTAACCAGTCGAGATAAAAATTTCTTACCGATTTGCCATGCCGCCGGTGTGTGAGCTTCGAACAGAATGGCCGCGAGATTGCCTAAACATTGGGCGGGTGTAAATTTGGTACTCGTATATAGATTAGTAAAGATAATATGTTCACTAAACATGCCGTACTCTGCTAATTATAGAAAGTCTGCCTTTGAAACAGGCTGTTTAAATATAAATAGACATTTAACGACAGATTGTATACGAGGTTGTATACATATTGCCTTGCTGCAGACAAATACTGTCCATCTCAAAGACAACTTCTCTTTTAACTTACTTACCTAATATAGAAACTATCTTACTTCCTAAAACCTTGCTCCACTGTGTATGCTGAGAGTGCCTGATGATACACCGTCCTTGGCGACTACGATCAGTCTTCGGCTTCCTCCAGAAAGCTTTGTATTCCGATGAGTTCATATGTCCAAGAATATGGTTGATGCAATCAGCCCTTGCACGAATGCCGCCCTCTGCCTTCTCTCTTCTTTATCCTTTTCACAAGCTTCATCTGGGGGAGATGGATCGGTGCTGCACAGACAAAATGCATCAGTAACGTCGCATCAACAGCATCACCAGGATATATTATTCGACAAGATTAGTTACTGAAGCCAGTAGAACTTGCAGCTCAGTCATGTCAGCCAGGACTCTGGCTAACAAAGCAAACGAAGGGCAATGGAAAGTTTAGGGAATAAATTAATATAAATCGATGGCTCGTCACATTTTTGGTTCAACCGAAGGAGCATTAATAACTAGTGCATTGACATGCTTAACGACAAATATCAAGATAAAATGAAGTGAAAAAAAATATGAAACAATTTAATACTTCACCCTGTTGGAACAGACAGCATGATTCTATACTGGATGACGCAATGGTTAAAGAGATAACGACAGTTTTTGCGTGACATATAACTCACAAGATAAACCTATGCTAATAACGAAAGGGTTTCCATCTCTCCAGCAGAAAACTCACTAACTGCCTGCCCTTCACTTTTAATTCAAAAGAGGAGTAGGTTGGAAGCGAAGATAGCATAATATTTCAAAAGTACAGAACCCAGGTAACATAAAAAAGCACTATCTCATAATTCAGATGATTAATCAACTAATCAAATATATGCAGTTAAGGGATCAACCAAACATAGAATGATAGCAAACTAATTAGAAAAAGTTCCAAAACCAATAACCAAACAGAGTTAAATGGTGTTCAGGGGTCACTAGGAAAGTAAAAGATTCAATAAGAGGTTACTAGACAAATGAAGGCAACTAGAGAAATGAGATAATCGCATATCGTGGATAGCTTAGATCTAACAGAAACAACAATTTAATGCATTCACAAAATTAAAGATCTTCAAGAATTTGAAACAGCCGATGAAAAGCAGATTTAGCTGCAATTAAGAATTTCATAGATACCAAACTGTTATTAGGGTTGGTATTATGTATACACAACAAATCTTCTGTTTATGGAAAGCATATAAACAGCAGATCTTTCATATTATCGAAACATTAATACGATGTTTCAACCAATTTTTTTTTTTTGGTCAAAGATGTTTCAACAAATTAGTTTCTGCCTTATGAGATCATGATATACCTGGGTTTGCAAAGACCCATTTACTATTATATCATCCATTCATAACATGGTGCATGTTAAAACAAAAGATTTCTCAAGTTTGCAATCCCTATTAATCTCACGCTCAAACAATCACTAATATGGTATAGTTATACTTTCATAAAACAGCAAAAGGAATTTACCTTTTCATGCCGGAAGTGATAGGGGAATCAATATCTGAACAAACATCTTCGGGGATACCTGTAGGGTCTGAAAATGATATATTGCAGATAAATGGTGAGAGGAGAGGATCAGGTGCAGTTTCCTGTGCATATGTCCTTCCATGTTTAAGCAGTGCCTTCCCCAGCATTGCTGAACTACCAGTCCACAAACCGGATTTTTGAGATTTTCTCCTGTGCTGAAAGCACACAGATGAATCCTTTAAGGTTCCGACAATGATCAACAGAGCTATCCGCTAAATTCACTATTACGAAGCCTTGATCCAATATAGGTAATAATACCTTGAAGGAGCTTCCATGGTGCACCATAAAATGTCCAATTACATCTTTCCCCAGATTCGCAGCGCACAAAGGACAAACCTGGAATAGCAGGATTAAAGCAGCCATCAGGTTCAAATTCTAGCTGAAACATCTATCAATTTCAAGCAGCATCTTTTTTGTAATCAATATATCAACGTTCTTCATTGGATAGTTCAGTAATGACTCAAGAATCCAATTTTGATAACACTAAATCTCCTTTTTAATCGCACACAACAAAATATTAGGTAAAGAAAAGCACTTACTGCATTTTTAAAGTCAAAGCAGTGTTCTTCCTCCAAGTGGCTGCAAAGCACTGGGACTTCAATATCCACATAACAGAAAGGGCATGGAAAACACGATTTTGTGTCGTCATCTCCTTCAGAATCTTCCAAACCCATATGATTATCTGTTTAATATAGAAGATCGAAGATCGATCAATAGGTGTATAAATCACACAGGGTATCTATATATGTACACGTGTATATGTGCACACAGGTGGATTTAGCAAAGCAAGTCAAAAGCTTCGAGAAAGTTGATCTCAGTATTTAAAAGAAAGTACTTGTCGTTTCAATTACATCAACATCCCCAATATTCAGCCGTTTAAACTACGAGATCAAACACATGCAGACAAGCGCGCATGCACACAATTCACACGGACACGTAAATAACCATATTAGAATGATAGAACCTAACACCCAGCTATTACTCCGGCCCCAAGAAACTACTAAAGTGAACACTTTGCCTCGCATTAGGTGATCAAGTATGGGATATTCATGAAACAAACACCACTTGATTCTTATCAAAAAGACAATAAACAGAGAGCCTAAACAAATATGAAGGCATCTTCTTATCTATACACTGCATAAGCTACAAATGAATTAACCAGTCTCAACAACCATCCGAAGCAGATTTTTCATCATTCTTGATATGTTTTTCAATCTCAATCGAGCCCTTAAATTTCTCACATTCATGAATAACACTAGAAGCATTATTCACAAATAACACTAGAAGCATCATTCTCAGATTTTCCTTCACCCAAAGCCTCAGACAAAAGGCTTTTTGCTTCCTTCAATATCTGCTCTCACAGTCTCTCCAGATCTTCCCAAGAACGCTAAAGTTCTGATTTTTGTACATTCCCCTCTCTGAAATTTTCATGCCGATTATATTCTTCATCTTCACTATAATTTTCCACATCTTCTTCTACCCCAGTATAATTTATCAGGCTGATAAATCCCCCTAATCTTTTTTTGTGGTGTTGATAACCTCCCATTATAATTAAACTTCCTCCAACCTAATTAATCAAAGTAACATCTTGATATCCATGTGGTCTATACCAAACCCTAAATTCTATTACAAATTCAGGGATGCAAATAATCACACAAATAGGAAAGTTTTTATGAACAAATCTAGGAAACTTGATAAAATTACCTAATCTAGCATCATACAAGATATGGAAAATCTCAGATTCTCCGGACTTTTTATTTTATTAAATGGGATATTTTCCAATATCTCCCCACAAGAAAAATACCCCATATATTTCAGGATAAAACATTATCTGCTTGAAAGTTCAAGCAAAAATAGTTCATTTAAACAGGGTTTAACAAACAATTAGTCAAAAACAATGTGCCAATTTCTTTCTTAAATCCAACCAAAGCTCTCAACTTTAATTGCAACCCAGTTCTTGAAATCCCACACGCAAGCCATTGCTTTACTCAAACATCAAAAAGAAGAACCTCAATTGGTGCAAGTTTTGTTAAATTCAAGGACCTCAATGAACGGATTTTTAGTTCGGAGACCCAATCTAAATTACGGTGAAAGTTAGGACCGATTCTAAATTTTACTCGACACAAAATGTCGAAGTAAAAAATAAAATTCAGAAAATTGAAGTACCATAGTGAAGCCTTGCAGCATGAGCAGCAGAGAGGCTCTTAGCTGCGTGAACCCTGGAAGCCCACAAGTCAACGTCCATGGTGGTGGTTCAACTCTCCGGCGACCCAAGTCAGCTTTTCCCGGCTAGAACCGGTGGAAACCGCGCCCTTGGGAAATGGGTTGGGACCAAAAGGCTTAAAGTTTCAAGCTTTGAGAGAGATTTTGGGGTGTGGGTGTGGTGAAAGCTTACTCACTCTCCCCTCATATATTGCTCCGACACCGAAAGCTTTCCCTACACACAAAAGATAGTTGATGGATATGTGACACGTGGAATTTTTATTTATTTATTACACCATTTGCTTTTTTATTTTCTTGAGTTAAATAATTGTACGTTTAATTGCAGTTCTGCTTGTTAATTGTCAATCTTTTTGTCAAAGTGCAGAGAAAACCATGGTTTTAATCTATTTTTTTATTTATTTATTTGAATATTATATTTGCTTTCTGCTGCATTTGACATGTATTAAAGCGGGATTAGTCTAATTAAATGATTAATGAGATTGTTTAATGACTCGTGTGAAATAACCTTTCTGCACATCACATGGGAGCTTTTGGCAGGTCTCGAAAGATGCCACTGATGCTGATGTTGAACATCTTTGGGTTCTTTATCTTAAGTCTGAATGACGTGAGGTAATTTGGTTTCATTTGGATTCTCGTTATTTTATAAAGAACAAGGAAACAAAGAAGTAAAGGGTGAGGCAATAATCTACCGTTTCGCTTCTACAATGTTCTGAATCGTTACTTGGAGTTTTTAGATTTGATTGTTACTTAAAATCTTTAGATCTGATTTAATGATTGTTCATATGCATTTAACAGACGTTGGACTGGATTTGAAGACTCTAAGTAGCAGGGTATTCAATACTTCAGAGTATTATTGAATAGCTTTGTTGAGAAGTATGTTGATTGTTGTAAATTCAATGTAATGTTGCTTTAAATGTGGCTTTTATGACGTTCTAATATTCATGTTTTTTATGAATTGAAGATTTGGAATTCTAAGACAACATATTTTGCTTTCAAGGAGTATATATTTATGAGAGTGTCTCGATCATTACGTGATCAATCATTCAGTATTTATACATTAACTTGGCAACCTGTGATCTAAAAGATGCATGTGAAAACATACTTCATTAAGATAGGTAACAACTTTACTTTCTTTCTAAATATAATTTGATCATAATAACGTATCGCGGATTTTATGTTTAGAATCTATTTGATAACAATCCTAGCATGTGCCGCCTTGACAATTACATGTTGAGTGTCCCACTTACATCCAACCTGTCGGGGTTTTCCATCTCGTGCCCTAAACAGAAATTGAAACTAATTAGGTTTTAGGTGATTAACTTTGATAAATAAGATTAATAAGGCAAAAAAGATGGGAAAGCAAATGGGGGTGACAAGGACAACCTAAAAACCAAAGGGCCAAGGCAGAGAAAGGCAAGGCATGCAGTAACAAGTTGGACAAAAAGTTGCTTTAGTAAGGAGGAAGGTGCATTACACCTACAAAAAGGGCCAAACAACAACTGCTCAAAAGCCTGTGGTGGCACAACATCTTCTCATACAAAAACAGATTAAAGAGAGCTCAAAGGTTGAAACCCATCAAAGGGGTTTTGTAATTCTTTTATTTTTTTCATTTATAAACAGTCATTATTAGAGGCTAGTGTTCCATTAGTTTAGTGGTAAAACAATGGGATGGTTTGCTTGGCATGAAAGGAACTTACCAAAAGCTAAAAAGACATAAGAAAAAGAACTAAGGTATTGTATGGCTGCTAGGACTCGACCAAATTATCTCAGTTGAATTAGACTAGTATCTTGTTACTTTTGTTGAACTTACAAATGCTTAAACTGAGTTATTGAATTGGAAAACAGTCCATCATAGTGTGTCATCCAAGTGTCGTTTGAAAGTATTGGATGAATTAGGATTGACTTGTACACGATTCTATCCTAGTCCAATCCCAGTCACCAAACAAGTATAATGGCATCACAACATATATGAGTGGATCCCAATTGGCATTTTGGGTGATTTGGGCTACTCAAAAGAACTAATGTTCGGGCTGAACTCATATTTTCTTTGATCAATGTTAGGAAGGACTTAGCCTAAAGTTTGAGATATTATGAAGAGCGTCCACTATTAGACAGGCCCTAAGGTGTTCATGATAGGGAAAGCTAGCTAGGAAATCTTTTGATGAAGATCAAAGACCCATTTAAACAAATTTTTAGGCAGATAATATGCTTTCAATGGATTTTTTTTAGGGACAAGTATACAATCCATGAGGGAGAATTCATGGCCTTTTTGGATTTTTGTCTGATAATTTGTTAACACCAAGCTTGCATAAAGAGATAATCTTTTACATAGACCAATGAAGATATAGATATGTTATTTGTCCCTTGATCTGCTGCTTCCATGTTCAAACGTTTACGATATCAAAAGGAGTGGGACTGACAAAAGGTTAAGCTATATACCTTTATGAGTTTAGAGCCATATATTGGTGGGGAATGGGAATGAGAATGTTGTTGAAGAATACAAGAATTCTTCTTCGGAAGACGGACAACACTATATGTGAGTTATATTGTGTGGTTTCACATCTGCTATGTCGTTCAGATGATAAGATACAAGTTTGAGGATAATATCTGTGTGATTGATAGTACGCTGATAACCCATTTATCTGAAATCTTGACAATTACAATAATATTTCTCCCAGGTTTTATGACACAATGATTCCTCCTCAGTCCTCATTCCTTGTACTAACCTAGCTATGGCCCAGGGCCAAATTGACTCTCTCATTACCATCATTGAGCTGATAAAAAAGTAAATAAAGATGAATGATTATAGTACTCAATTAAGAAAACTTAGATTGTGTTTTAAGCTGACAAGAAGATCTGATGATAGATACACACACACACACACACATAGCTGGAATATATATACCCACCTATGGATCAGTATAATACACACGACACAAAACATTAGTCATAGAAAGAAAATGAAAGAATTTGAAAGAAAATGAAAATGTTATCATATATATGAATGTGTGTATATATATATATATATATGTGTGTGTGTGTGTGGATCACAGTAATGCTCTCAATTTGTGTGTTTGGTATAGAACCGAAATTCAGTAGTTGGTCAAAGTTTCTGAAAGAGATCGAGACAGCACCAACCATTATGGTAAATCAGCATACAATGGCAGACATTATATATCCCCAAAATGTAGGAGAGCAATTTGTATAGGGCAAGTACATCGTTATATATTATGGTGTTTCATGTCAATGAAACAATGTTAACGTCACATAGAGAAAAACTTAAAGCCTTCTCCAAATGTAAAGAATCATCAGATGAAAAACTGAACGATGCATGTCAAAGCTTAGCTGTTCTCATATATACATGTGCGTGTGGGTGTATAAATATATAAGCACTGAAAGCATATTCAAAATAATATACAGCTCTATAATTAATGGCTCTGGTAATGCAGATGGAGATGAATGTCTTCAAAATTGACAAATTAAAACATATATATATATATATATATATATATATATATATATATATATAATCTCTATGAGTACTGGATACTAAAAAATCATATATTCAAGCTTTCAAACACATACTACAATTACAATACAAGTCTTACAAGCATCAAGGTAATGAGAACATGACAGCAACATGATATATTTGCTGCATCCATATACTCAAAAAACAGAAATATATAATTAAGAACTAAAACTGAAAAAAAGATAAAAATAAATAAACAAAGGAGATTAAAAGGAAAAAAAAAAGTGATCGATCGGACCAGGAGAGCTTCATTCCCCCGTTAATGGATGCTATATATCCATCATCAGTGTATCATTCTTGGGTTGGACTTGGAGAGACCCCAAAGTTCTTTAAATGGCAGTTCCAAGAAACACCCATGTATATCTCTTGAAATTGAAACTGAGGAGAAACCCTAGTTTGCTTCCACTGCACTGGACCGCCATATATTTCAGAAACAATTCCCACATCGTGATCATGAGAGAGAAGATATGCAGCTGAGGGAGTGAGAGAGGGAAAGCAGCAGAGTTAGAGTAACTCAGAGAATACGGTAACATGGTACAGATATATATAGCTTTATATTGCAGAGAGAGAGAGAGAGGGGTGAAATATTGTGAAGCACGCATAGTGTGGACTGTGGAAGTGTGGAGACCTAATCTTATATTCCCGCATGCAGGATTTCTCTTTTCAATGAACAGTGCTAGAGGGCACGTTTCCACAGGGAAAAAGGAACACCCAACAAAAGGGGAGACGACACACTCACACAGTGGACTGTGGAGGCAAATGTGTTCCTGTGTGTTCAATTTTTAGGGTTTACATTTTTGTGAAGGCAAAGCAAAGTAGCAAACGTAAAGCATGATATATCGGTGCCCCAAGGGTGGGGCTAGCTAGCTCCTTAACCCTTGAAAAAAGGGTCTTTATCTATGTATAATGTATGGTGTTTGAATTTTTGGCTCTTCTCTCTTTTATCTTTTGGTCGGCTCGTATCCAAAAGGGTTATAATTTTCTTTTTGGTTGCCTTTCATATGCTTTTGTGTATGGTTTGATTTAGATTTACTTTGTTATTTTCAAAACCTTATGAGATTATTAAGTTACAAATATCAGAAATTTACGTAGTTGGATCAAGCTGGTTTCACCATCTAAACTTCATTAACACGCATTTAGACCAAAGCTAATTATGCCTCATCATGTGCAAATTGATCGTTAACATCCATCTTCTTTCCCAACCTACACGATATATCAATATAAGAATTTTTGTGGTGAGGGGTTAACTGCATTTTATTAAGTGTAACTATATCGTCGATATTGACGAATATAACAATTTTATAGTTGACAAGTAGGGATAGCTACGGTTCGGTTTGGAGACGAAAATGCTATATTCATCCCCATAACCACAAAAATTAACCAAATTCATAACTGCCAATTAATCATCGGGTATTATCTATAACCATACACACCGGATAACGAATTCCCCATCGATTAACGATTATACCCATCTTTGTCAATACAAAAAATATATTCGTTCAATTGACGCATGATAATTTAGTCAATATTTATTTCGTCATTAAGTATTTGAGGTATAAAATGATTTAATGAATGGATCTTGTGAAGCATAAAAATTAAAGCTAAACATTGATAATGTGGGCTGATCTTTGATATCTTGTATAA